CATCAGCTGCGTCGCCCTCCCGTCCTTGACGGTCCTCTCACCCGTCGCGGTCGTCAAACGGCGTGCTCATGATCTAATGGATGATTCGTCAGAAACAGAACGTCCAAAAGAACGACACAGGAGTTTGAGGGCGTACCTTGGTCATCATGCCCCTCCATGTGACGAGCTGAGCATCAATCTTCTGTCCCGACTTCTGCTCGTGAGCCTGGATGGTCTTGAGCAGACTGATGAGGTGCTCATCGCCAGACTCGTCCGCTTTGACAAAGGTATCGTAGCCCTTGGACAAGTCGGCGCCTATAGTGGGATTGTAATAGTAGCGCATAGACGAGTCATCGAGATGGAACTCATGATTGTCGTCGTATGAGAAGCAGGCGAATTCCTGGTTGATATTATTAGTGGCTGCACGATGCGCCTGGAACATTGACGGACCTTTGGTCGCTTGACAGGTTGGCTGGCGCTGTAGAAGCGGCCAATAGGTTGTATAGAGAAGCTGGTCGCCATTGTCAAAGTTGCGCCTCACAGACGATTCAATGCCCGTAGTTGTGTAGGCAGTGCAGACAGCACAAGGCAGCACGTTGTGTACCCGTTGAAGTTCATCTGAGTGTCCAGTCGAGGCATCTTAGGTAAGGCGTGAAGACACTGACTGTTGGGAACGCATCAGGGAGCTCACTGGAGTAAGGTACTTACGTGTGGGGTACTTTGGTACCTGGGACCTGTGTATCGCGACGACTGACTCCAGCTGTGCGTTTTCCTCTTGTATTATGCAGATTGCATATGTTCTGCACCTACCATGTTTCTACTCTATTGGCAGCCATTGCCCCCCTTCTCCGGCATACAGAGAATTAGGTCAGTCACTTGTGAGCGTCAACTGGATTGACGATGATGAGCATCGTAGGTGCCCCACCACATGCGTACCTTATATGTACCTAGGTAGGTAGGTACCTTACATAGGTAGGTAGCTCGGCAGGTACTGTAGGAGCACAGCCACAGGGGACGATGAAACCAAGAATGCGGCCACTGGCCATTTGCGCTGAAACATGTCCGGGGGTGGCTGGCCTGCACTTTCCCACTTCCCACTGAATAACCCACCTAGGACGGGGGCCCTGTGGTACCTGAACATGGGAGCTCGAGTGAATTGAACTGCTCAGCCTGCCTTCCAACCTACCTAGGTACCTACACTCCTTCGCCTTACGCCTTCTCACGACCCCTTCACGACGCTCAACTCGCAGCCCCCTCGATCCGATTGATCATCCGACACACCCATCCCGCCAACCGCCGAGGAGCACACCCTACTGCCCTCTTGCATCCGACGATGCGCCAGCCGCCACCATCCACGTAGCGCATTCGCTCCACCGTCTCCCGCCATGTCGAACCGGTATGGGATCCCCTACCGCAATGGCAACGGCTATGGCAACTTCGGAGCGCCACCGCAGGAGGACCAGCAGGGCGACTACGACCCCTACGGCGACGGCTACTCGAACAGCGGCCGCTACGGCTCGCCGTCCCAGCAGACCATGCCCTACAGGACGCCGCCCCCGCAGGCCGCCTCTCGAAACGTCCCGCCGCCTGTTCGCCAGGAGCGCATGCAGCCCGAGACGAACGCCGAGCGCCAGATCGCCCAAGTCCTCGAGCTCATCAAGCGCGAGTGGCCCTCCATGTGCCAGACCGACTGCATCCCCGTCCAGCTCGCCCTGCAACTGCTCGACACGAGCTCCGTCGGCCGCGCCCACGAATACCGCAACTTCCAGGAAACCCACGACTATCTCCAGAGCTCGCTCAAGGGCATCGTCCACGAGCACCACCAGGGCTTCAACAGTTCCATCGGCACGTTTCACAAGATCCAGGGCAGCATACAGGCCTCGCAAAAGAGGGTGCGCGCCCTGAAGGAGTCGCTGGCCTCGTCCAAGGTCAGCCTCTGCTCCACCGATCCCGAGCTCAAGAAATTGTCCGCCGCGTCGCAGGCCTACGACGAGCTGTTGACCAGCCTCAACGAGCTCGAGGAGCTCCGCCTCGTCCCCGACCAGCTCGAGGCCCGCATCTCCGAGAAGAGGTTCCTGTCCGCCGTCGATATTCTGCAGAGCGCGCTGCGCAAGCTGCGGAAGCCCGAGCTGGACAATATCGGCGCCCTGAGCGACCTCAGGAACTACCTGGCAAACCAAGACTCGGCATTGATGGATATCCTGGTCGAAGAGCTGCACGAGCATCTTTATCTCAAATCACCCTATTGCCAGGAGCGGTGGCAGAGCCTCGCCAAGACTCAAGGCGCCTTTAATGATGCCTACACCGATGCGACGGCCATTCCGCTCTTCCACTCATGTCTGGAGGGCATGGATCTCGAGCGGCCGGCGACGGAGGACCCAGCCAAGAACCCCGAGGCCGACACATTCACCTATGTTGGGCTTCTCGTCGAGTCCTTGAACAAGCTCGGACGGTTGGAGACGGCTGTCGACATTCTCAAACAGAGGATGCCTGTCGAGCTGTTCGGCATTGTCAACGAGACCATCAACGAGGTGGACCAGCGACACCCGAGCTCACTACGGGGCGCCGCCATAAACTCTGAAGGTCTTCACATTTACGGGAACCGAGAAACCCAGATGCGGGCAGATGTCATCTACGACTTGTTATGGGCCTTGTATGGCAAGTTTGAGGCCATTGCCGAGGGACACCGCATATTTCACGAGTCAATCAAGGCGCTCATCCGCCGCGAGGGCGCCGGGAATAATAGCGCGCTGCTTGGCAGCTTCAAGGAGTTGTGGAACCTGTATCAGAACGAGATTCGATCGCTCCTACACAACTATGTCACGACGGATGCCGACGTTTACCAGTTCAGCTCGTCACCGAAACTGGGCTCGAATATGAATGGCAAGAAGGATGTCGCGCGTGAGCACCTGTTCAAGTTTGCTGAAGCGGATCCCAAGTCGGTCGACATGGTCACCGAGTATGAGGCTCTTGAAGGCATCATCCGAGCTGCCGTCCCCGGCTTGACCGACAGTCGAAAGCCAGGCGCAGACAAGAAGGCGATTGGTCGCTCCAACAACATTGATGGCGGCAACTCAAGGAAGAGCACAACAGCCGGATACGAGAGCAAACAGAACAGCTCTAGCAACCACAAATCGCTCGTTGAGCCGAGCGTTTTCAACATGAGCCTGTTGCTACCACCCACCCTGGTCTTCCTCCAGCGCTTGAGGACTATTGTCCCACCTGGCTCGGACTTGGCTTCGAGCGCCCTGACATCTTTCCTGGATAACTTCCTGGTGAACGTGTTCCAGCCGCAGCTGGATGAGACATTGGGCAAACTCGCCGACACCGTCTTCAGCGAGACGACTTCTTTCACGCAAGATCAAGAATGGAAGCAAGTCGCGCGGAAGCCGGTCTTCAAGGGCACGACAGCCTTCTTCACTGTTGTCATGGCGTTCTGCAAGATGCTCACAACCATCCCGCCCGATCAAGCCTTGAGCACACTAATCATTCGGCAAATGATGAGGTACTATGATCGGTGCTTCGGCTGGTTCAAATCCCTCGCCAGCAAGGCGCAGGAGACTGCCACGGACACACAAACACTGCGACTCGCGGCCAAGCTCGCACTCGAGCCCAGCCAGATCAATGAGACGATCAAGGGCATCTGGGCCTCCGAGACAACAGACACTGCCTTGATGGATAAGGAAATCGGGCAGCTGATCGCCTACACAAATAATCAGAAGACGGAGCTCAGTGATATTTTGCAGGACAAGGATACGATATCATCCATCTGCCTCCTATATACTAGCATGAAGTGGTTGGCCGTCAAGATCTCGGGTCTGCGGCACATCACCCAACACGATATTGATTCGACGCGGCCGAATCTGCCTCGCCAGTCGGGCAAGCGCTGGACCTTGATGAACGACACGAACAAGGTCACAAGTGAGGACTGTCCTGTGTACCTCCCGATGACTCAGGATACCGTCCAGTCAGTGACTCCCTGCGCCGATCCCTTCTCCGTGTCCATCTTTTTGCTGATCATCTTCCCACAGAGCCTTCGATGGTATCGTCTCCTCCTTCGAGGAGCTCGCCAACACGGCCCTCCTGACTCTTCATCTCGAGGCGCGCGCCCAGATCATCTACTCCCTCCACACGGCCCTCACCCCCTCGACGTCAGCCCCCTATCTCCTCGACCAGGAGGTCAACGAGCCCGACCCGCAGGTTCTCAAACTCAACGCCGACGTCATGACCTACGACGAGACGATCACGCGTCACCTCCGCACCCCCGAGTCGCGCTTCGTCCGCACCGGTCTCGGCCGTCTCATCGACGCCTACCTCGTCGGCAACGCCCCGCTCGCGTCCCCGATGAACGGGCGCGGCTGCGGTCGCATGCAGCTCAACATTCTCGTGCTGCAGCAGAACCTCAAGAATGTCGAGGAAGGAGTCGACCTGCGACGCGCCGCCGAGTACTTTGCCCTCTTCGAGAAAGGTCCCGACGGGGTCGTGGCCAAGGCCAAAGCGGACAAGGAGGCCGGCGAGGCCGAGGCCGACGGCGAGCCGGATGAGGAAGAGAGGAGGCTCCGATTCTCGTATGACGAGCTCAAGGCGCTCATGGAGCTGTGCTTCAGCGAGCAGCTCGCCAACCCAGAGAGGGGCGTCGCCGCCGCGGCCAAGCGGCAGATGGGGGAGAAGATGCTGGCGCTGAGCGAGTACACGTGGCAGACGTAGGGGGAACGTTCGGGGTCGAGGGGCGGAGGGGCGGAGGGGCGGTCTTGTTGTGGGATGGAGTTTAAGGCCTGCGACGGATGAAGTACATGTGACGACCTAACCTGACCTTGACGGCCAAGTAGGTAGACAGAGCCGAGCCGAGCAGCAAGGAAGATGCATGCATGACTGGGGGTATATTCCTCTGCAAGTCTATCAACAAGGGGGGGGGGGCGCCATCCAATTTTTGACACTTTTCTCTTGTTCCCTCCCTCATTCGCTCTCCCCTGATCGCACCCGTCCGCTTTCGCCTTTGACCGCAAACCTGATTGATCTATTTACTGCGACAGCAAATCCCGCCCCCTGTTGATCTGGACCTTCTTGTCCTCGCCACCGCTGACGATGCCCCACGTGGCATCCCACGCAACGTCAAAGACCTTGACGCCCTCGCCGCCGAGGGGCGCCCTGCGGCCGCCGAGCGACTCGCGCGCGACGGTGTAGACGGGCTCACAGACGCTGCCGCCACCGGCGGCGGCGCCGCCCTCGTCGCGGGTGGCGGGCCGCACGCTGCGCAGGTCCCAGACCTTGCAGGTGCCGTCGTGGCTGGCCGAGACGAGCGAGTAGTCGTTGTCCGGGGCCGGCGCGAGGGCCGAGACCATGTTGGCGTGGCCGCGGAGGGTGAGGACCGACGTCTGGGCGGCGGCGGCGCGGGGGTCGAGGAGAGTGACGTGGCGGGCGGCCGAGGCGGCGGCGACGAGGGCGTGGGCGCTGCGCGGCAGCGGCGCGAGGGCGAGGAGCGGGTGGAGCGTCGTCAGCGTCGAGACGACGCGCGCCGTCGTCAGGTCGAGCGTGCGGAGCGTGTGGTCGGTCGAGGCCGAGTAGGCCACGGTCGCGTCCGTGGGGTGGAAGGCGGCCGCCGTCGCCGCGGCGTCGCCGTGCGCGGCGATGAGCGCGAGCGGCGCCTTCTGCGGCACCGTCACCGACGAGGCGACGCGCGCGCGCTTGGCCGTGTGCGTTGCCGGTATGTCCTCGGCGTCGGCGTCGGCGGCCTTCTTCGACGCGAGCCAGAGGCCGACGGTGCCGTCGTTGGACGCCGTCAGGAGCCGCTTCGAGGGGCCGTGGGCCGCGAGGCTGTTGATCTTCTGCTTGTGCCCGTGCAGCTCGAGCGTCGGCTTGAGCTCGCCCGACAGCCGGTCCGCTGCCTCGGTGTACTTCCAGACGACAATCTTCTGGTCGAGACCGGCGGATGCGATCTGTGTCGAGCTCAGGAACTTGGCCGACGTGAGCATCTTGGCGTGACCGCCACCGCGGGCCGCCGCCGAGGTGGCCAGCGCCGAGCCGGACCCGTCCCATATCCTGACGAGACCGTCGTAGCTGGCGGAGAGGATGCGGTCCTGGCCCTGGATCAGGTCGTCGCCAGACCAGCGGCCGGCGGCCGAGGTGGCGGAGAGGACATCGACCGAGGCAACCCAGTCGTCATGCTGGAACGAGGCCTCGTACGTGGGCGGCAGCAGGGAGCGAACGTATTGTAGCGTGATGGTGGTTTCGGAGGAAAGTCCCTCGGTCTGCAGGTACTCTTCGAGGGTTGTGCGGAGAAACGTGCCATTGACAAGGAAGTCGAGAGGGACCGGGGCGGATGTGTTGAGCATAGACTCCGAGTTGAGAATGCGGGAGAGGCCATATCGCTTGATGTCTGCTTTCGTCAGTTCAGTTGCACTTCCAGGGTCTCTCTTGTGTGGGGTTCACTGACCGGACGGCACGAGAAGTTGCCTCTTGTTCTCAGGCAGTTGGAGGTCTTCATGGGTGGTGGTGAAGTTAACCTTCACCTGAGCCGCGGTGGACTCCATGTCGGATACGCAGGGGCCTGGAAATGTGTGGGTGGCTTGTTCTTGGGTTCGGGATCGGAATTCTGCAGATAGTGCGGCTCTGATTCGAGTGTGTCAATTTGGGCGAGGGGGCAGCGAACGTTGTTGGTCGTGTCGTCTGTTGGATGCTTGGGTGGATATCTCCATGCAGAAGGGATCTGGATATTTTTTGAAGAAAATTGTTGTCAGCCTTGCAGCCATCTCCACCCCCACCAGTGAGTTCATGTCCAATCACAGCGCCGATTGAGTGGCAAGGCTGAGGATGCCCCGCCCTTTTTTAACTTGGGCTCATCATCGCTGTGGTCCAGTTCATCACAGCATGTATGCCTCATTCATGTCAATCTCCCATCTGAGAATATTGACCTGAGCAAAATTTGGATAGCTATCGGCCTAGCTCAATACCTCATCGTACATAAAAAAACGTACAAATTTTACCCGGTTCCAGGTCCTAGCATGCGCATACTTCGCTTGCCGGTCGCGGAACCTCCCTCGGACACCGAGTGCCTCAGTCCTGTTCGTCGCCTTCTTCACACGGGATCGTCTCGACTGGCTACTCGGACAGATTCTGGGCTGTGTTCTTCACGTCCAACAGGAATGCCTCTTCGATGGCTGACTTGCGCTCAAACACACGCAGCCAGCGCGCGCCCCAGCGTTGAAGATGAGCCTTGCGCTCCTCACTGTTCGGCTCGTCCAACATTTCATCCTTGATTCCCGCCTTCCAGCTTGACAGAGCATCTTTGAGCGATGTGAACAAGTCTCTCATGGCTTTCATGTCGAGCTCCTTGCTTGCCTCAGCATCCGCATCGAGTTCCGGAGCAGTCATGATCTGACGAACGCGGCCCGTCACCTTGGTCACGGTGTTGGACACGAGCTCGAAAACATGCGCCTCGGCCAGTGCATCGCCCTCGCGCTCGCTGTGGTTGTAGACGAGCGACCATTCAATAACCGACAAGGGCGTCAAGATGGAGTAGTTCAGCAGCTTCTCGATGATTGAGATGGCAACGCCCGGTTGTGCTCGCCAGTATGCCATGACGGCGGTGATGATCTGCGCGCGAGCCGCTTCCGACGCGGCACCAATGTCCAATAAGCGGTCCTTAACACGCTCAATGCAAGCCAGCACGTGGCTCAGGGATTTGGAGCCGACCCAGCAGACAGCCGTGACGAACACATCTGTGCTGGTGACCAGCGCATCTAAGCTATGCTCCGTCGCGGCTGCATGGATTCGGTCGAGCACGGGTTGGAACTCTTCGTCAGGCACCTTGCGCTTGAGGAGAGCTGCCAGCTCTCGGCCCTCGGCAGAGAACGGCGTGGCTGCGAACTAGTTAGCGATTTCTGGTGAACGGGGGGATACGTTGCCACCTGGCTACTCACTCTCGTCAGAGAACTTAAAGTCGGGGACGTCCTTCTCCGTGTCAGGTGAGATCAAGCTCTGGTATTCTTCGGGAAGCGTGTTCTTGATGCGCTGAGCAAAGCTCAACCTGATTTCCTTGTCGAGGGCACCTCTGATGAACGCCTTGGACGGGTGAATATCAGGCAGGAACACGTCATTGACCCATTCGGTCCATTTCCACGTGAAGCCAAAGTTGCTCAGGTGGTGCGCGAACCAGTCAAGGAACCTGTTGCTCAGCTCCAAGTCCATCTGGCTCTGAGCGTGATACAGAAAGCGGATGGCACGGCCCAGACTCGGCGCGATAGCGGCAGGAGCCTGCTTGCACGCCTCGGTGAGAACGCTGTGATAATAAACCAGCTTGTGCTCCGCTGCCGGCAATTGGTGCAGCTGAGAGAAAACGGCGTCCACGGCGACATCCTCCGGTTTCCACGTGGATCTTCCAGAAGGAATGTCTCGCAGTCGGTCGAACGGTGTGGCACGCTTCACAAACGTGGAATCCGAAAAGTAGCAGTCAACATCGACCAAGAACCTAGCCGTGGCATTGCGGTTGAAGTCAAGAATGTTGATCGTGTCCACGAGCGCATCTCGGATCAGAGAAGAGGCGATGTCGGTGACCGGCGGCACAGAAGGAATGTCCTGATCGGCATAGACGGAAAAGTGCACCTCGGGAAAGAGAGGCTGTGGCCCAGCAATGACCTTTTCGGGAACAGTAATGACTGGCAGGTCGTGCTTCGTGGCGTTCTCGAGCTTCTCCATGGCCTCGATCTCCTCCAGAGGCATCTCCCACGGCCGAGGCAGGCAAGCCAGTTTCCACCCATCAGAAGCCTCGGATTGTAGCTGGCGCTGCAACAGGCTGATGATGCTTGCGGAGCCCGTGGCCGCACCCTCAGCCTCGGGAAGAAAGGGGTCAATCAAAGCTTGGAGCGGGTGCGGCTCGGAAGCAATGATCTCGGTGCTACCCATGAGCTGAGCAGCCTTGTGCTGCCACTGCTCTGGGTGTGCTGCCATGATGTATGGGATTGTGAGAAGGATGATTTTGACGAGCTCGGTACCAATCGTCTAGTATCGTCAGCTAATGCACCTTCCTCAACATAAATTTGAAAAATGAAAACTCACGTCTTCCGAGCTGGCAGTCTGCAGATCCAGCGCTCGCCCGAGCAGTTCCTCTAGAATGGGGAAAATGCCATCGCCCCCCAAGCAGCTCTGCAGACAGGCAAAGAGCTTGAGCAGCAATTTGGCATCCCTCCAGTGACCTTCTCTGATCTTCGTCTCCGTGGCAATGCTGAGCCTGCCCAGGATATCCTCCACAATCTCCGGGCGTAGTGTGTTGATGAACAGGATGACCGCGGCCGTGAATGGGGTCTTCAAGGGCTGCTCAACGGCAAGCTGGAGTACCAAGTCGATGAAGTTTTCGCGCAGTTCCGTGTCATCTACATTGTCGGCCACAATGTGGGCAATGGACTGGACCTCCTCGTGCCATCGACGCAGAGGCGACTCCGCGATGTTGAGGAGCTGCTTGCGAATCCTGACAGGGAGCGGAGGGGGCTCGTGGCGTCGACGTTGTTGGCGATAATCTTGCTCGTCGTCCTCGCGGTAGCGGCGTTTGCGATTGTGTCCGCCACCACCACCGCCGCCCCCATTGCGTCGCCGGTCATAATCACCCATTGCGAGTCTGTTTCGGAGAAGGAGGCGTTTCGGTGGAGTTGATACGAGTCGTTACGTCGCAGATTTCCGTAGGCGGTGTTGTTGAAGAGATGCGGGAAAGTCGTGCGACCGGGAGGGGATAAGGCAGGCAGGTAGGCCAAAAGGTCTTGTCGCGATTGCTCTTGCCGTAGCGAATTGAGCTGGAGCTCGAGTCGTTGCTCCCTAGCGCGTCTCAGTGTCGGTACCTGCTTTGCCCTGCATGATTGGTCACAAAAATATGGGTCACATGAGATGTGCTCACTTTAGGCCTTCTGCCGTCAAATACCCAATGATACGTTCGCAGACATCACAGATGTAGCACCGCGAGACTTTCTCCAAAACCACATGAGCCATTCCCGAGCTAGCCGTTGCTGAACCGAATGAAATAAGAAGCCTGCCCTGGACAGCAGGTCGTAAACACCAGCAGCAGCGTACAGTTGATCGAGTATGGAGAAACAACAAGCCAAGCCATCCAGACTAAGACCGTACATTGATTGTGCCATCCCGTACGCGGCGGGGAAGGCAATGAAGCCCATTTTTACTTGTAACGCGGGTAAACAACAGAGCAGCAGCCAGCCAACCATCTCAGTCATGCATCAACATGTGGTCTAATCCCTGATGCCCTTTGGGTATGCAGCAATGCAGCCTTCCCGTGGCGCGCAAGTGGTGCTCTCAACAATTGAGTCTTCTTCTCCGGCCCGGTCGCTCTTTTGTCCGCGGGATTCAAACCGCAGCAATACCCAGACCACGCTTGTGCCCCACCCATTTTGCATACTCCCCACGCCGACCAGTTTCCTATTCCTCAAGCGTCTGACGCCAACCTGCTTCTAGAGGTCATCCTCATCGTATCTAATCATCATGTGGCCCGACTTTGCTGGGGGGTGTCGTGCTACTGCTGCTGGGCGTGGACTTGAATAGGTTTTGCGTGTAGGCTAGCAGATCACCCCGGGCCGTGACCACAAACGGCCCGTAGGCGGGTACGTGGTAGTGCAACGTCTCATAGATGGCCTGTGCTTGCTTCAGTCCAGCTTGGCGAGCATCTCCTGCTTCGTCAATGGTGTGAACGAATCGATATCGAGACCCTTAGAAACAAGGATAGGTCGGATGTGAGCCGGCACCAGTTGAGCGTTGAGGTCCGGTCGGATCGAGAGTTCTGCATTGATCGATTAGTTAATTCAAACCATGGAATTTCGAGACTCATGAAATAGCTTACCGTGACGAGTGAAGTCGAACAGAGAAGGCAGGTCGCGCACCGTGCCGGTCTGGTGCCGCGAATCGGGCAGCTTAGTGCTGGGGTCCCTCAACTCGTCGAAGAACGGATGCACCATGGCATCAACGGCGCTTTGCCTCTCTGTAGGAGTGTATTCAAGGAGACGGGCAATCAGGTCGATGGCGTGAGCGTCGGCCTTTCGGAACACCTTGGCAAAGGGGTGGGGCTTGATCTGCGGGAACTTGTGCTCCATATAGTTTGGGTTCATCGTGCGGATCTGCTCCCTCGTGGGTGTTCCCAGGACCTTGATGATCTCTACCAGCTGGTCAATGCCCGACTCGCCGGGGAAAAGGGGTTGTCCGAGCATGAGCTCCGCCATGACGCAGCCGGTTGACCAGACATCTGTTGTGCGCGTTAGTACAATGAGCCTGGAGCTGCACATGGGAAGAAATGGTGGTAGTCGTACCAATCTTGGTGGTGTAGTTGGTGGCACCGAAAATGAGCTCCGGGGCGCGGTAGTAGCGAGAGCAGATGTATGACACGTTGGGCTCGTTCTCCACCAGAATCTTTGCGCTGCCAAAGTCGCACAGCTTCAGGATACCAGAAGTAGGATCCAGCAGCAGGTTTTGGGGCTTAATGTCGCGGTGGCAGATGCCTTGAGAGTGGATGTAGGCCAGGGCGCGGAAGAGCTGGTAAATATAGAGCTTGACCTCGAGGTTGGGCATGGTCGTCTTCATCTTGTTGAAGAAACGAGAAGCACGGTAGACCGTTTCAGGCACGAATTCTTGAACGAGGTTCAGATACACCTCGTCTTTCTAAACCCGTACGTCAGTCAACGCCCTGGATGTGAAGGTGATCAAGCGGGCTGGTCTTACGCGCTCGCCGTTCGAGTAGTAAAAAGCCTTGAGCTGCACGATGTTGGGATGACGAACAATGCGCATGATTTGCAGCTCTCGGTTCTACGTTTACCAGTGTTAGCGTACCGACCGCTAAGACTTTGGCTGCAGCTGTTCACGGACCTTGAATCTCTTGTCTTGAAGAACGCGCTTGATGGCAGCGTCCTCCCCGGATGGGGAGAGCTTCGTCTGGAAGACAACACCGAAGGAACCGTTGCCAACAATCTTGCACTGGGTATACTGCAAATCCCTGGTCTCGCCAGTGACACCGTCTTGCACCTTTTCGCGAATGACCTCTGCGGCGCGCTGTTAATCCACGGTATTCGACGTAGTAGACATTTGAAATCTTACCCCCCATCCTGAGGTTGTGCAGGGCGTTTGGGCGATTCGAAGACATGTTGCAGAGAGGCCACCAAACTACGCGGTGGTGATGCTATCGTTGGTGGTCGCGAGCCGTGAGGCGAATTGGGCAGCGGAAGGGAAGAAAAAAGGCTGAGAAGCGCGGGGTAGCCGTGTTGGGCGGTTGTGGAGGGGACAGCCTGGATTAAAGGCTCGATGACAGGGCGCAGCGATCTGGCGGCAACACGTTGGATTGAATCGGGGAGTCTGCGTCTGGCGTACGATGGATTGAGAAGAGGGCTATGTGGATGAATTAGTGATCCATGTTCTGCGAGGCGATCAAAGGTCTGTTGCGGTAAAGATTTCATAGGAGGCAGATCCAGGGCGTTGTGGTTGACGAGGACGACGCGGGGTATGAGGGGGAACGGGGGGAGGACACGGGGTAGGGCAGCGACCAAGCGGAATGGGCTCGACGACAAGTTGCCTTCGTGATGCCGATTTGGAGAGATCAGGATGACTCTGATAGCAGGGACCAGAAGCGTTCCAAGCCAGGCGGGAAAGAGGGGAGTCCGTCAGCTGCCGTGGCTGGGTACCATCGCGGCTGTGCAGGCGGGTGGCAGAGGAATCTGTAGCCTAGTGATAGAATGGCGCTTCGTTTGAACTCGCCATTTTCGTAAGGGCCGACTGGCCAGGCGGCACAAGCTCAAGGCGACTGTATGGGTAATACGGTCGCAAAGGCAAAAACGCACGGCGAGCAAGCAGGAGGAGGAGGGGGTGTTCGCGAGGGGATCGTGAGGTAGGTAGGCGCGGGCACGTCCCAGTGGTCGGTCGCACTGGGGCTGGCCGCGAGAGAGAGAGGGGTAAAGGCTGGTGGAAATCAAATGTGAAATAAAGTCCAACTCACCAGGCGGAGACAGCTCAGCGACAAAGCTCGCGGTCGATTCGAGCGTGTTGAGAGATGGATCGAACGGCAGATGATGATACTGACGTGAGGGACGGACCGAAGACGGTGCTCACGGTGTGTGCTGACGAAAAATCGAGAGAGTTTCCCGTGAGCTGAGATGGGTGCAGGGAGCACCGAATTGAGTCTCGAACGTGGAGGTGGGAGAGACGAGCGGCTAGAGGCTGAGAGCTGGTAGGGGGGGCTGGGAGGATCCGCGCAGTGTCAGTAGGTAGGGAAGGCGTAAAGAAAAAAAGACGACGACTCGGAATGATGATGGGGTGCCGGAGGCAAGTAGTTCTGGAGGATTGGGAAAGCTGGAGAGAGGGTTGGATGGACAGCTTGGGAGGGCAGGGAAGAGGTCGTGTGGAATTGAATTGAGGAATTGAAAAGACGAGAGGTACTTGAAGAGGGGCAGCCGGGGGGGGCGTGGTAAGGTGGGTGTGTGGAAGGGGAGGGGGCGATCTCGAGGCTTTACAGGCTCATGGGCAGGCTCACCCTGTCAGGGAAATGCTTAGGTGGGCGTAAAGCTATTGTACCTTGGGGCGAAGGCGTGGGCGGAGACACCTTTAGGTGGTGGTCACAGTGTCGCGGGCCACACGGCAGGAGAGGCTAAGGACCGAACGAGGTGACGGCGTTGGGCTTGGTCGAGAGACGTCTGTCTGGCCTGGCTGCTGCAGCCGGTCAGGGGTGGGTAAGGTAGGTAGGTCACCTGGCGGATGGTGGTAGTGTACCTAGGGACCTAGTGATCGGGGTTGTGCTCAGGAGACGAGAACGGCTGACAGGGACAAATGGGTGGAGAGGCTTTTTGTTTTTTCTTCGAGATTCGAGAGAGGCTTCAGGAACGACGATGCAGGCAGGCCACGCACTGAAACTGAATCGGCTGGCAAGAAGATGCGTCTAAAGGCTCGTCGATCGTGTCAAGTCGTAACGGAGAGGTCGAGGCTCGATTCGAGTCTTGTCGTACTGGGATCACGACTGGAGCGCTAAGGCGGCGTTGGCAAGGCGGGAGAGGACGAGGGAGGGGAGCGGGAGGGGAAAGAAGAGCAGGAGAGAGAGGGACGCGCGAATGATGTCAGATAAGGTAGACAGACAAGACAAGAAGAGGGCCCTTGTCAGTAAGTAAGGCAGGTAAGGTAGGGAATAAGGCAGGCAAGGTAGGGTAGAAGCAGCAGGCAGGCAGGCGCCTGGTGTTGGAGGGGCCGTGTGCTTGCTTTGGGTCTCCGGGATGTCTGTGTGTCGGGCTACCTGATGTCGCACAGGCGCCGCGGGGCAGTAGGTACAAGTAGAACGTAGGGTGCAGGGCGTGTGAGGTGATGTGAGGCAAGGCGACGTGCGATGCAGGTGCACGATGAGATGGCCAATGTCAACTGACAGCGGTAGAAAATGTCAAAAGAATATGCGAGAGAGCCTGGAGAAGGGATCAACTAGGCAATCTGGCAGATGCTCCGTCTCTGGCTATTCAGCTACTTCCGTGGGCGAAGAAGTACTCAGAAACACGGTGGACGAACAGTCAGTGGGCGAGGTACTCTCCGCTTGGAAGTATTGAGGTGACGGGGTATCCGTGTAGGTATCGAGACACTTGGTCTTCAGTGGATGAGCGCTACAGATCGGTGAGGTGCAGCAGGGTACCGTAGCCCCGTGGGTGAGGTGTTAAGAGGGCGGACACCGGGAAGGGGGGCAGAGGAGGGGTGGCAGAGTAGGAGAAGGGAGGGGTGTCGCGAGGTTGATGTAACTCAGGTGTGTGGGTTACCGGGGGATACGGCCTGGTCAGGTCAGGTGAACAGCGGAGGTTGACACTGAGGTGGACACCGAAATGTGGAAACTGGGGCGCGTATTTTGGGCCCGAGATGCGGACATGCAACGGGCCAGCCATTATGTTGCGTACCTATACCAGCTGACAGAGAGGCCGAGACCATTCCGGCAACAGAATAAAGGGCCTCTTCGACAAGAACCCAGAGATCTTTTTCGCACGCATCTTTTTTGTTTCTCTTCCGGTGAAGGAAGCTCGATGTTTGCTCGGTCGGTACTTGAGCTCAGGCTTCCACAAAAGGTCACTCGGCTGATGAGCCCAATGATGTCCGAGTTTTGACACACACACACACAGAGAGAGAGTGAGAGAGGGAGAGAGAGAAAGAGAGAAGAGACAGGGCCAAGATCAGAGACCAGCGAATAGCACGCGAGGTAAATTGATGAGCCAGCCAGGGAGGTACTCGGGTACCTCCTGAGGTTTCCAGCAAACAAAGGACTGATCGACACGGCCTTTTGGGTACCTACCTACCAACAAGCGGAGGCAGGCGGCAAGTCAAAGTCAAGGTCAAGGTCAAGCACCAAGGGCCGGGGCTCGGGGCCGGAGCCGGGGCCTGGCTCTCAGGGCAGGCTAAGATCCAGTCCCAGGCCCAGACCGCCGGTGACAGATAATCGATGGCCGGGGGTCGTACAGCTAGGAGCCAAAGACATGCTCGAGCCGAACGAACGGGGAGGTACGATGGAGGCGTGAAATGTGGTGAGGTGTGATGGGTGATGTGCGATGGCGGAGCCCCACAAGGCCGGCGGTGGCTTCCAGATTCCTAGCTTCCTCGTCTTGGGTGAGATGTGACGGCAACACACGTAGCTGCTGTCCGTAAGGTACCTACATGTAGGTGTTTCCAAATCGGAAGGCCAACACACCGCTGTGGATATCTCGAACAAGCCTTGAAGGATCCAAGCAATGAAGCGACTCGATGAGGCAAGACATGCTCAAATGTCATGGAATTTGCGGCATGGGCAGCCAATGCATGAATCAAAGCTTCAACTAGTAAACAGCTGTTCAGCGAAGGCGACTCTGATTTGGGTGTTCTTGCAGGGACCCGCAGCTGTGGGCTGCTCATGTGCTCACTCTTGAGACGGGCAGCTCACGCACTAGAGCTCGGCAGGCGGAAGTCAAAGGCGACCCGCTATTGCTAGCACCGCACCAACGTCGCCGGCGGCGCCAGCAACGCCAGCTACTGCCCAGACGACGACAGAGGAGGTAGGTACCTTCCTACAGTACCTAGGTAGGTACTTTAGTGAGCACAACCCAACAACTGAAAAGGAGGTCTGCAGCATGGAGTGGCCCAAGCTTCTACAGCACCAAGCGGCGGCAGCAGGTGCAGGGCAGGTGCAGACCACTTGACGCCAAGCCCACACCCCATCGACGGGGGCCCTGGCATGGATCGTGTAAATTCCGTTCTGGGCAGTGACCATTGACCACACGACCAGGAGCCCCTGCCAGCGGCCTTTTTCAGCATCCCGTGGCGATCACATCAGTCATCATCACCACCACCACCACCAACACCTCCGCCCTCGTCACCTTACCACCTGACGCTTGACAAGAAGGTCACCTCGGTCAACAACGGTCGATGGTGTGCCATCACCATCTTGGGGGTTGTTTGCCCTCGCGAGTCCAGAGGATGGTCCACTCACCGAGACACGCTCCTCACTATTTGTTTCTGGCCACACGAAGCGGCTGTCGTCAATCAAGTGCTGGCTCGAGCCAAAGCTTCCCCAGGGTCCTGTCCCAAGCTCAATCTCAGGTGCTTAACTGCCTGCGGTTCTATCATGTGTTCCAGTGCTTTTTCCGTCCAAGACCACGGCAATCCGGAACCGCAATGTTCGTCACTCGCCAAACTGCGGTGTCACGCTCGCGACTCGGTCTCTTGTTTCTATCTGAATAATGCCCACGCTGCCAATGGGTCCCGGGCTATCACAGATGGGGTCGTCGCTTGTTTGCATGGACAAGGGCGGATCGCCCGCGAACTTTGATGTGACCATCATACTTCCAGTAGCCCTGGCCTGGCCCAGCTCGGACCATGCACCGTTCAGCAAGCAGCCTCAATTCGGAACTCCACGCTAGAGGCTTCAAAACGAGCAAAAGCTTGAAGAGGGAGTGTCAGTGAGCACGCACGCAGAGCTTGACACCACTAAATACTTCACGACTAAGTGTCCGAATGGTCGACACCCAACTGCTTAGCCTACCCTTGTCTGCCGGGCTGCCTCCCGGTGTTTGTGCGTGAGATAAAAAGATCGAATTGTCCTCTCCCGAAGGTGTGCCATTGCAGCTTGTCACACCAAACACCCACACCACCACTGGTGCAATGGTTGTCGCTGATGTGCACTTCAGGCCCGGTCTTGTTGAGCCGAAATCCTGGGATGCCCCTCTCCCTTGCCCCCCTCCCCCCTTCCTCATGACGACGTTGCCCTCCTCTTCATGTCCCGTGCCACGCACCTGTGGAGGAAATGCTGTCAGCGAGGCGGGGCCGAGCAGCTTGGCAAACTTCGAGGACCAAATTGTGGTCAATTATTCTCCATTGCTGGGACTGGGGCCCAAGTGCCTGAACTGACCGACTGAAGCGAACCAGCTCGGGGAGCGCCCGGTGGGTCGTCCACCCAAGTACTGACGCAAGATCATTCCCTCTCCCAAAGCCGAAGATGATCAGGGACGGACGGTTCGAGACGCAGCACATAAGCGAGAGATCGGTCCCGCTACAAGATGATTTCAAGGCTGCCTTCTAGATCCCATGTGGCGTTTGAACATCAGTTTTCTGGGTTCCACGACGGGGGTTCCCAAGGGAAATTCTCTGCTCGTCGCTCAACATCGGCGAAAAGTCTCCCTCGATTTCACTTGTTCCAAACGAACCAACGACGGAATGATATGCGTCAGGGGTCGGATGGTCCAATGGGAAACTTCACACAATGACAAGACTACATTACATGTACATGTACTCGGGCCAGTACTCGGGCCAGGGACGACACAGGGGTCTACCCAACGCACACCTGGAGAAAAAAATCACCTGTGAAATCGCTGTTTTGGTAATGCTGTCAAACGAAGTCCCGGATTCGCTCGCCCTTGCCTGGACACAGCAAACTGCCTCAGGTCCCATGACCTTTTGATGCAACGCTAATGACTAGGATTTAGCTTCCACATGCAGTCTGGTAGCCACTTTTACGATTTATAGACGTAGGGGCACTGGCGGGGCCACCCAGTGAGCATCTCACGATGGACGGATGTAGAGGGGCGACGCATCAGAGCTTCGTGCTTCACGCTTCGCGAAGCCTCGCCGCTTCCTTGCACCTGACCAGTTGGCTTCACCGATAGACCGGGCCAGAACATTAGGCCAGCCGCAACAGTGCCCAAAGCTGCTGGAAGCATGCAAAGCTCTGCAGCCAAAGCTCTGCTGCCACATGGGATTGTGCTTCTAGAATCCTAGCAATCGTTTTAGGGAGCGGTAATTTAGCGAACAGAAGCTACAGGTTTTCGAAGCCTTCAACCCTGCCAATGTTGCCTGCAGGCGACTTGCACTGGCGAGACCTGTTGCCAGCATCCAGCAAGGCATTCCGGCGTTCTTACGCTGTCTACATCCTAACCTTGGTGACTTAGTGGCATCTTCGGGTCTGCAACATGCCTGTCGCCTGTTGATTTCCTCCGTGGTTTTGACTGTGCAGCACGCCAGCCGTGGTTTGCATATGGAACAGAAATGCCGAGCACCCAACAGCCATTGACACCCAAGGTGCATTGGGACATACGAGCGCCCATGCCCATCGATTGGAACGGGCCACTGCTGGATATCAGCGCAGGGCCTTAGGCACGCCGGGAGTAGATCCGGCGACATGGAACGGCTCGGCAAGAAAATACATACACAAGGATGTGGTTCGCATGGCGCTCTTCCAACGCGCGTGGCATTCAAAGGTCTCGCCAAACAAATGCGCCTGAGATCCACCACGCCCTCCCAAACCCTCAACGTTATATCTGACCACCAGCGGTGCCCTCTTTACGCTGGTCACACGAATATTCTGCTCACGTGTTGTCCGTTCTCTAAAAGTCCATCTACGGGCGTGGGCTTAGTTTGGCGACCAGCCAGACCAGACGCCAGACCAGACTCGGGCGCTCTGATCGCTCCTCATAGACCACACAGTTGCACACTGAGCTAGCACATCAGTTCTCCTCCTCTATGTGCATGCCAGTCACGTCGACAAGGAGGACAATGCTGTGCAAACTAATGCTATCACGACCTGGCGTTCCAAGACAAAGCTACAGGGGGCTTTAATGTCTTCGACAACAGCCTGATAACAAATTGATAGTTATCGTACTCGCTCTTGTCTCAACATGTAACTGAGGCAAGAAAGCTTGTGGCTTGCTCCCGTGTCTCACAACAACGTACGATTTGGACGATAATTCCTCGTCGGTTTTGGGTTGTTGCGGTGCAATCATCACGGCGTTGCCCGCGGGGCTCTCAACGGATTTCTTGGAAAAGTATGTCTCAGGCAAGATCGATGGACCAAACAAACCCATGACGACATTATTATTTGGTGGTGAGGGCCGAATTTCTCATCGTGTTCCGCCCTTTCGATGCGAGACTGGAATAATCCAATACTGTTTCTCACTCCACCTTAGATGGACCCAGCCATCCAAGCCACAACATGACGCCGACAGCCGGTGCTGTGCCAAAAGACTACCAGCGGGAGAGCTCAGATAAAACCTGTTGAGACAATGTCAACCCATACCTGACGCCAGACATTGAAGTTGGTGTTCCATTCGGAGACGAGCTAAGGCAACTTCGGTGCTCACCGGTCATCAGACGAAGCTGCATGACAAGTCATCCGTTTGTCCTTGTCAGTACTCACCTGCAGCATCTCCAAGCAGAAGGGGGTTTAAAGAAGCCCAGGTAATGATGTTGGTCTTGCTGCTACTTGTCATACCATTGATAGAATGGCCGAGCAAGGTATACAGATTCATTGATCATCCGCGTGGGATCAATCGGCAAGCGGAGAGCCTTTACAACCTGTGATCAGCCCACACAACACCCGCATGGTAGGCCGTGATGGTACGGCCAGGGGCCACGGCACTCCAGCTGAAGGCGCGAGACAGGAGAGGACCATGCGTGGCAGCGTGCTGCGCCCTCGTCCCGTTTGGGCCATGTGCATAACTGGCGCAGGGAATCCTTCGCGGAGCCTGTGATGAATGTCAAGGGCAGCGGGCTGATCTATCCCATGATGTCGTGCTTCGAGATCAGGCGTTGCCTCGTCAAGCGGATTGGCGGCCCTCTCCTGGTTCTGCACCATCTCGTCGCGCTCGAGATTGGTGTTGTGCAGGTGCTGGTCCACCGCATGACTCGGTGCTGAAGCGACTGCAAAAAGTATCGAGATGCGACTGTGGGAATGTTGTGCTGCACATTGAATGACCCAACGGACAGGAACATGAAGCGTTCGAGCCAGAAAGAGAGATGACGCTCCTGCTGCTAGACCTTGCTGTGGTTGACTGTGGTTGAGAATGGAATCTGGACTCGATTACGCAGTCGAGGCGATGAGGCCTTGGTTCGCGCTTCGACCTGTGGGTTGGCGTGTGCTTACCTGCAACATATGCAGCCTCGTGGAGCCAAGAGTATCGCGGTATCAGCCTGTGGCACAACATCCCCAGACAGAGCCGAGCATTGTGCTCTGATTGATGGTCTTCAGATAATCTCAGATGAGGTCATACGGCGGCTCACGACGACGACATGGGAACGATAGCTTGATAGCGATCCCACATGCGGCTCTGATTAGATGGTCGGCTTCCATGTACCGGTTCTCTGCTCAAGCTGAGCCTTTAGGTCTTTCCTGCTCATGCCGATGCACACCAAGCACGCACGCATTGACAGTCATCATAGCAACAGTCCTTTCACAGAATTTCCACGTAAGCATCTAGAGAGTCTATCATTCATCAATACACAAGCAAGAACCCGCCGAAGACTATTGTATCGCTACCGTAATTTTGAAATTTATCGCGGGGGGTAAGGGCAGGGTAGGGGGAAAAGTGCAACCATCAACTCCGCGAAATATGAATTCGTAACCAGCAAAGCTCACGCAGCGCCAACTTTACAGGGGAGCGTTGGTGAAGAGATACGAGACGGACTCGCCATTGTGGGTTCTGCGGATGGCCTACATGGAATATCAGTATGCGTGGTACGTCGAACTGCCGGACAAGGGGGGGAGCGTACCTCGGCCAACGTTGCCGACACGTCAATGACCTTGAGCTTGGGGCATCGCTCGACCTTGTCACCGACTGGGATTCGCGGGTTAGTTTTATATTCCGGGGTGGTACAATGGCCAAGTTTTTAGGATTGCTGCTCGGGAAGCGGACGTGGTCAGATAACTTACGGGGCACAGCTGTGGAGGCTTGTCAGCAATGCGGTTCTGTGGATACTGCAGAGGGAGAAACTCACTATTCGTCACAACAACGCCAGAGAGGCAGGACTGGTTGATCGTCTCAATGGCGTTACCGCTGAGGATGCCGTGCGTGACAATGGCGAAGACCTGGCGAGCGCCGTGCTCGTTGAGGGTAGCGGCGGCTTTCGCGAGCTGCGTGTGTGTTCGTTAGCAGACTGAGTATGGGCCCAGACGAAAGGGACAGCGCAGGGGTTGCAGAGGGGGCGCGTAGCGTACAGTTCCGCACGTGTCGGCCATGTCATCGACAATGATGGCGACCTTGTCCTGGACGTCACCGACGAGCACCATGCGGCCAACAACATTGGGGCGCGGCCTCTCCTTGTGGATGAGCGCAAAGGCCGTGTTCAGGCGATCGGCGATCGAGGTGGCGCGCTTGGCGCCGCCGGCGTCGGGTGAGACAATGACGGTGTTCTCGACGTCGAGGTTCTTGCGGATCCAGTGGAGGATGGACGGTTCGGCGTAGAGGTTGTCAACGGGGACGTTGAAGAAGCCCTGGATCTGGGAGGCGTGCAGGTCCATCGTGATGACGTGGTTCTGGAAGACGAGCATGTCAGAGACGACTGGCACTGGAAGCCCCTTCAGGGAGTCTTGAGGGAGAAGGGGGGTAGGCGTGGGAGCTTACGCAGCCGGACACCTCGAGCATCTTTGCCATAAGCTTGGCGCTGATCGGGGCGCGAGACTTGTCCTTCTTGTCCTGGCGGCCGTAGGGAAAGTTGGGGAGGATGATGGTGATGCGGCGCGCCGAGGCGCTGCGGCAGGCGCTGATCATGATGAACAGCTCCATGAGGCCGTCGTTGACCTCGCCGGGGGCTGTCGACTGGAGAATGAAGACATCCTCGTCGCGAACCGACTCGCCGATGATGACCCTTGTCTCCTGGTTCGAATATTGCAGGCTCGTTGTGTTGGCGACTTCGATTCCGAGTCTGCAGTGGGCGTTAGCTCCATTGTTTTCCGTTCCGCGCACCCTGCCTTGGTGCCGTCACTCTTGGGCTTCGCGTCCGGAGAACTCCCTTGGAGCAGCCACCTCCCCCCCGTCAGCAGTCCCAGAAACGTACCGGCTCGCCATCAGAGCACTGAGCTCCGGGTGCCCGCTCCCGGATAGGAGCCTGATCTCGTTCGCCATTTGATCGAGCATTGCAGGTGGTTTACAGATGGCCGACAGCGGGGTCCAACCAAGGCTTGGAATTTTTTGGCTTGAGCGACGAAAGAAAGAATATGCCCCACGTCAATTGCGTCGTTCGGCCCGAGAGAAAATCCACTCCCGGCCGACCGCACCCGGAGGCCCCACCCTGACGACTCGTGCAGTTCAATATGCCTAGGTAGCTCGATGGAAATATGGAGGCATGGCAACAAAAAGTATGCCATATTCCGTATAGCTCACTGGCACCATTAGTAGACCATAGCAACATGTGCCTGGCAATGGAGCCTCAGTCGCGTGCAGAGGAAACGGGCTCCGAGGGGCATAGCACAACGCAAGCTCCGCAAATCACCTTACCCCAAGAGTAATTGAAGATGGTTATCAAAAAGGGTTTCACCCGTCGTACTGTCCGCTCATTCCGTCAGTCCATAGTTGCGTTGCGTAGTGTACAGTCTCCGACCCAGTCCCAAGTAGCACGTCGCCTCACCGTCCTCGCGCTGTGTGCCAGCCACGTTTCTTGCTCGTCTTCTCATGCGCGCGCATGCATCATGCACCCTTTCATCTGAAGCCATTGCCACGTTTCTCTCTCTCTCTCTCTCTCTCTCTCTCAGAGAAGAAACAACCAAAACACGCACAGGCACGCATCCTACAGCGACAGGTTGTAGCTGTATTCATCCTCCATGTTCTGGCTCACCCAGAGCACGATGCTGCTCAGCATGACGAGCGCATTGGCAACAACGTTCTCGACGCCCATGCTCAGCGCCGGCATGGCCACGCCGCGGACGACAAACTTGAGCACAAAGACGGTGACGCCGCCGGCCATGCCGCCGGCGAGGGCCGCGAAGCCGAGGAAGAGCACGACGCGCGCCTTCCACGCGACGCCGTTGCCCGAGTAGCTGAAACTGTCGGCCGACAGCCGCGTCTTCTCGACGCTGTTGATGATGAGCATGCCCAGGCTGCTGAAGAGGAGCGGCAGCCAGTCGACAAAGGTGACGTGCGTGTCCGAGCCGTTGATCGTCTTGGACCACACGGCGCTGTCGAGCATGACGTAGAAGGCGAGGGAGAACTGGCAGAACGGGGGGGCAACGTGTGAGCTCGGCGATTCCAGGAGGGAGACGGATAGGGGGGGGGGAGGGTTCGGAGCAAAACGTACGAGACCGCCCGCGGCGTAGACGCCCGCGTTGCGCGACCAGGCGCTGTTGAGCCACTCAGGCTTGCGGAACTTCCAGAGACGCTCTTCCTCCATTTTGGGTTGGTGGGCGACGGACGGTCGGTTCGCTCGGTAGGTGGCGGATATAAGGCAGCGCTCTGCTCTCAAGGACGCCGGGTATGCGTGATTTCGGAAGTCAGCAGCGATGCTGTGAGGTGGCTCGGTGATGGCTTTGTTGGAGGTGGCTAGATGACGACTGCCTGTCGTGGTGTTTCTTGGATGGGACAGCTGCTTGGCGGGTGCGGCTCGGGGCCCCACTCTCGGAGTTCGGTGATAGGTCACGTGAAGCTCTCCAACCTGGGGATGCCATGCTCGCTTTATCCTGTCAGTCATGTCACATGTATGACACGGGATCACCAATGAAGACCAAAAAAAACGTGGCTGTAATGTACAATACAATTACTCTGATGAGGCTCGGTCTGTGACTACGCAATTTGGGAGCCTCACGGCCGCCAGCGTGGGCCAGCGTGACGAGCAACTCTCCGTAGTCAGGAGACTGGTATGCCGGGCAGCGCGAGGCAGAGATTGCAGGCCAAGGACGCTTGAATGTACGCGGACAATGCCATACGAATGGGAAGCTCCCCGTTTCCTCGTCTCCCATGTCCGCAAATTAACATAGTCCAATCCGCCAATCCACCATTACTGCTAAGAAACTCTTTCCAGAGAGTCGACGGTCAGGGGACCGACGCGAGAATTGATAAGAAGAGGAAGCGAAAGATAACCATTCGCCATAGGCCGAAAGGCCTTGAAAAGCGTTTGTAAGAGCGAGTCAACCCCTTGCCGGCATGCAATCATCATGTCGATTGACCAGACCCGTGGACGCCACCTAACTCCTGTGTTTTGCTGTATGTGAGAGCCGTCTCTTTCGCTGCTGAGAAAACAAAGTGACCCGGAATCCATATCGTCGTTCGTTTCATGTCCGGTGGCGGACCCATCTATATCTCAATCTCCTTCATCGGCTCATCGACCAGATCGGACTGTTTGTTGAGCTTGGACTTTGGCGCCATATTCTCCTTGCCGTCTTCTGGAGAATCGGCCCTGGCGAGGAGGGATGCGTGGGACCCGTTCTTGAGCGGTTGTTCTTCGCTCGGCCGCGGCGTCTCGACCTCGACGAGCTTGGGAGGCTTCAAGCCGTTCGTGTCAATCTCTGGCAGAGCAGATTCTTCCGCCACTCGTGCAAGGGGACTGGGCTTGCCCATGCCAGGGCGGATCGGGCTGGCGAGCGGGCTTCCGCCGTTCAGACGCTGCAGCGAACGGCCGCGGGGCTCGCCGTTGGCTGACTCGGGAGGGCTGGCGTACGGGGAGCTCGCGCCGGAGCCAGCGGGGGACGATGTCCTGTTGGGGGGTGCGGCCGATCGGCGTCTGGCGGCGCGGCGGCCGTACTTCTGGTCCATCCTCCAGCGAAGAATGCTAAAGTAAGGAGGCTCCACGCGGGGGTCCTTGAACTCGCGCAGCTTGAGCTCGCCAGAATCCTCATCGACGAACCACTTGCCGCTGCTGATATCGTCGGCAACCATGGCCATGAAGTGTGCCCAAGAGCGGGCCACGACGTACTTTGTGTCGTAGTCGCGGCCAAAGAGGATGATCTGACCCCACTTGCCACCAGGGCCAGGAGCCAGATCAACGGCCAGGTTGTTGCCACCCCAATCGCGCACCAGGGGAATCCACGCGGGATGTGCGTATGCCTTTTGGACCGAGTTGGGAGGGACCGATTCCTGGCGCTCCCTGAGATCTTGTCGCCATGCGGGGTTGTTCGCTCCAGCGGCGGGGGAGGGGGCCGCTTTGGAAGAAGATGCCTGGCTGCTGCTGCTGCCGCCGAGAGCCTTGGACGGAACGGCGGGCTTGACAACGCTGGTATCGAGAAGATACTGCTGGTTCACCTTGCGCCACGTCTCCCACTCTTGCACCAACTCCTCGCAGTCGAGCAACATGGAGCCGAAGATGATGCCCGTGGGCGTTCCCCATCGTTCTTGACCATCGTGGATCATGAGGGATTCGCGCACATCCTGGGGCAGCGTGCAGTCGAGCATGTGCTCGAGCTCGTTGAGGTCGTTGTTCGTGGCGCCTTCGCACAGCTGATCGAACAGTTCGGGATAGTTGTCTTCGGCCCAGGCGTCGATTTTCCTCCAGGAGTGGGCCACAGGAGGGGCGGGCGGCATGCCATCCTGGAATGACTGCATGGGCACGTCGCCGGGATTGCTCTGCACGTCGAAGCCGTCGGCGGTGCTCTGTCGCGCGTTCTGAGAGCGGAGGCCCGGGGAGTAGGGCCCGGGACTTGAGGGCGTGTACGGGGAGCCCATGCCAGCGCCGTGGTAGCTGGTGCTGCTGTTTTCCCTGGACAGGTTCGGGATGCCGTTTTCGTCCTGGTAGGGTGAAGAAATGTTGGTGTGTGATTCCGAGGCAGCCGTTGCCACCGATGTGAGTATGCTGTTTCGGCCGTTGGAGAGAGGGACGTGTCGGCCACTGCGGTAGGGAGAGTCGACGGAAGAATCTGGATTGCACTAGTCAGCAGGCGCGTCGGGTGTTCAAGGGATGCACTGTCACGAACGTCTGTCGTAGCTGGTCATGTCATGCCAGAAAGAGCGAAAAGCTTGACTAATGCTGATGAACAAGTCGTTAGCATGAATAAAAAATCCATCATGGGAAAAGCGTGCAATCGTGGTGGCCTGCTGAAGAGGGGGCGCAAGGGAGGCTTCGAAACGTACTTGAACGCCATGGTGGGCTATTAGAGGCAGGGAGCCGGAATGCACACAGCGTGCGATGAAAGTCGCGAATGGGATGGCCCTTTTGGAGAAAATAGAGAAAAGACAGGTTGCGAGACCCAGGCAAATGCTCTCTGGACGTTTTGTCGGTCGCCAAGTATGCGGTTGGGAGGGTCGTCAAGGTGGGCGTCTAAAAAGGGTACAGGCAGTCGAGAAGAACCAGCCCCTGAATTCGCGAGTGCCTCTCCAAGGGAGTGGGCAGCACTTTCCGTCAAACGGTGTCGCAAGAGGGCGAGAAAAGAGTGACTGTTTGGTGAAGCGAGACCTGGATGCACTTGTCGTTGTCGATTGTGCGAAGATTGACGAAGATGCAGCAGTCGGGTTTGATTTCGCACGTTCGAAACGCTGGCACAGCCGTGGTGTGTTGTGTTTGGCAACGCAGCAACTGGAGGCTGGATGGTAAATAAAGTTGACGTCGCGGTTTGCGGGCGCTGGTGGCGGGTGGCAGGAGCCAGTAGCAGTTGAGTTTGGTCGTGCCTACCAGGTGTTTGGGGGCGTGCCAGGGTGCTCGGGCAAAGCACGCGGTGGGAGGAAAACTGGTTGGTGAAGGCAGCAAGTAGCAGAGCTTCGGGTCCTTGCTCTTCGCTCGTCGTTCTCGCGGTAGAGGGCCAAAAGCTCGAGACCAAGACTGTTCGATTCGAGAATCCGGTTCTTCACCACCCTATGTACTGGAGGTCCAAACTCAATGCACCCAGGGCCTGGGAATGTCCAGACTCGTCGGTCGTTGTCAGGCAGAAAGCGAATGTCGGGGGCCGAGTAGGAAGCAGGCCGGCGTGGGGCAAGGGGGGGGGGAGAGTTCGACAAGTGCGCAGTGCTGGACCGTCGAACAAACGAACGAATGATGGGAAGACGAACGAGACCGATGGGATGAAGCAGCCGAGTCGAGTGGAAAGAAAGAAGAGAGTGAGAGAGAAAAACTGATGGTAGATGAAAAAGGAGACGATCCCAGGCACGACGTAAGGCACGGTTCTGACAGTGGCAGGCATTGCAATTCACCTCAGCCCCCCAGAAATGTCCACTCTACTTGTTCTAACTAAGCCATTCGCCGTAAGGGTTAGGGGGGCGCGGGTCCCCGTCATTCATCCTTCATCATTCGCCCTTCCACTCGGCCAGTGCCTGCTGGGAGGTGGTTAATTAGTAGACAGGCCCCTGGGGCCGCCATGCTGGGATCTGCCCGAGGACCCAAAGGGACCGCAGAGGAAGAAAGAACGCCAAGGGGGGGGCAAATGGATCGGGGGGGGGAGAAAAAGGGGGGCCCTTCAACGGGTCAGTCCAGGTATCTCGGCGCATAGCATTGGCGGGCGGGTGACATGCCGCCATCTGATGTCCATCTAGGGTGCCCCACGGAAGCCGCCAGTCAGGAGTCTCCAGCCTATCTCGTGTCGCTCTTCAGGGGGTTGGGGTGCAATTGCAGAAGGGATCGAAGTGGGCGAGCACACTCTTCCTTCGCCTTCTCCCCCCCCCCTTTCCCACTCACTCTGTCCACCCCTGTTGTTCTCCTGCATCGCAAATTATCTGCCGGCGCCGAAGAGTGACACTTGGGGCTCTGATGCAATTCGCTCAGCCCTTGAAGTCTCGAGCAAGGCAGAAGCTGGGGCAAGGAGGACTCACCAAGTAAGGCGAGCCTTGGCATGCCTTTTGTCTCGACTGAACTCCACGACTGTACATGTAGTCCATCGTTCGCTGGAGGCCAGTTCGTGTTCCAGTCAACGAATCGCACCGTCTCTCCCCTCCGCGAGCGATCTAAGACAGGGCCATTTGGTACCCACCGAAGAGCAAGCAGGCAGACATGTTCGTGCAGGCCTCAGACAAGCCAGACTCGTCCGAAGCATTCTTCGCGTCAACCCCCGTCGGTCCTCGTCCCATCCGTGCCTTGTGACGAAATGCAGCGGCCTCGAGCCCGATGAGCCTCGCTTTGAAACACCAAGGGTCCATCCCTCCTCCTCCACGTCCGCCTCAAAGTGAGTCGAGTCAAGGCCAAGACAGTCAGCACAGGACGTGCGGTCGTGCACAGGGCGGGAGACCGACGCCACACGCCGACCGATCCGATTCAGCGTCAAAATGTCAGGAACAACAAAGAAGAGAAGAAAGTTACCGACAGACGAGAGATGCCCCCAGCGTCGTCGTCCACCATACTAGCAGACGTCAATGTGCCCACGCGGAAGCCCAACCTATTCTGTCGCCGTCCTTGCCCACTTGTCATCCGGTCGTGGCAGTTGGGCTTCACACGGTTTCCTTCCAACGGCCGCTTGCATACCAAGGTACATCGCATCGTTCGTCTCTTGTCGTTGCCGCAAAGCGTATTGGCTGGGGTGGGCCATCCGTCCCCCAAATCCACGTCGACACCGTGAGCGAAACCGAATCTGTCCAGACACGCTTTTCTGCTGAGGCATCCTTCAGAGGCTTACACACACCCCTGCGCACTTTTTTGGTCAAGAGCCAGAACCAAGAGAGATGAACCCCTCTTCACTTTCGGGGGGACAGCGAAGGCGCGCACCCCTTCCGCGGAGGGTCGCATCCTCAGGCGCATGGCATTGTGAATTAAAGATAGCACCTCGGGGTCATTCTGGTTCTCCTTGCGTGCCAGTCAGGTGTACCCACATCGAATTATGTATTCACCAGAACACAACAACATGGACACACATCCATCCCGCCCCTGAATCGGCGGCTGCATACGATTATTGTTTCCGGAGTTTTCTCCTTCTGCTCATAGTCCTTCATCTACGTTCATTGCCTGACGTCTCGTCACCGAAGACCCCCCACCCCCTCGGTGGCCTTGGCACGCCGTTGTCCGATCGCTTCCCCAAACCTGTCGCCATTGACCCCGCATGGAATACGGGGAGTCGAATGGCTGTCGTCTCTCCACTGTCGTGTGCTGACGCGCTGGCCCATCATGGAGGCCGCCTGTGAGGTCTACCAAATCTTTTTGTTGGACATCTGATGTGTCGGACGTGGGCGATTGGCTTTCGATCGTCTGCGCCGTATCTACCGTGGCGCGCCGTCCGCGTGGCTGCGGCCTTGTGGCGGGGATCTGCGTCCCAACCACCAATATGGCCCTACCAGCCAATGAATCCCCTGCCTACAGGTTTTGTGCACCTTGAGACGGCAGCACGTTGCCTGGTCGGCGTGGCTGCACGACAGCGAAGCGTAACGATCCGAGAGCGACGTGCGCGCCATGACCGAATGTTTGTTTCCCTGCGGCCGGCTCTTTGAGGTCACCCTGCGTTACAGTGTAGACGCTCTCCGGCAATGTCCACATTCCTTTCTGGAATTAACACTGGACTCATAGCTATGGCCGACTATGTGCAGTCAAGGCGAAGTCTTCCGCAGGCCTTCTAGGTAGCTTCAAGGTCACAACGGCCAGTCTGATCTGGCCGCCGCGTAGTCGTTCTCCGACGTCCCGGCGGCAACGTCTACCTGGTGCGCTGCCTTGAAAATGGCCGGATATCTCCTCTCCATGACATCTCTCGGAAGGAGGTGTAGCACCTCGTTCCTCAGCCTCTTCTTGTCGAACGGCAGATCTTCCAGCTTGATTGCCTCGAGCACGTAGCCAACCACCGTGTTGGTCTGCAGCGGCGGCACACGCAGGATGCCCGCAACCTGCTCCGGCCCGATGCCCTCGTTGTCGTGCCACAGGTAGTACGACCGCAGCGACGTGGGCGTCGTGCGCATGCTCGTCTTTGACGCGCGGTAAGTGGCGACGCGGGACTCTGCAGCGAGCACCCTGGCGTCCATGATGCGTGTCGGGTCCGACGTCCCCCATGGCGAGCACAAGAGTGGGGGTGCCGGTGCCGATGCCGATGTCGATTGGGTGGTGGCCTGCTGCGAGGTGTCTGTCGCTGCCGGCTGTCGTGTTACACCACCGCCGCCCACTGCTGCTGCTGCGGTCATCTTGTCACTGGCTGTGGCGGTGGCTTGGACTGGGGTGGCGAGTTCAGCGAGTTCAGCGAGCTCTTCTGGTGACGGTATCGTCACTCCGGGCGCCAGGCGGATCGGCAGGTTGTATTCGACATGATATGGCAGCGGAGGCCTGGGTGTCAGCGCCATCCGCTGCTCATCAAGGACATGATAGAGCTGCAGACCAGCATACGCGTCACCTGCAGAATCTGCAAAAGGTGGTCAGCTTACGTCCGGGAACACAGAAAGATCGATGCCATGAAACACTGACAAGTGATTTGCTGCATATTGAGGGCCTGCGACCAGTCACTCGACCGGACATCAGGCCCTTTGAACATGGGCAGCCCGAGGCAGTCCTGGACCTGTGTCGCCAGCGACACTAGCCTTTTGTTGACTAGATCCACGCGGCCGGAGGCCGAGTGCTTGACGAGTTTGTACAGATTACTCAACTCGAAGGTGCCCCTCGTGCCAACGTCGAACCAGTTGCGCAGGCGCGTGCAGTCGCCCTTGATGTTGACGCCGGCCTTGGTCACGTCTGGGTCCTCCATGATCTGCCTGAACGTCGGCGCCATCAGGTCGTCGTCAGCTCCGGGAAAGAGCGCCACGTGGAAGAGGGCGATGCGGCTCGGGCTTGCCAGCTGGATCAACGACACGTTCCGTCTCGGGCCCGAGGACTTGCTTGCGCTGGGCTGCCACTCGAGGTCGAAGCCCAGGACCTTCTCGTCGAGAAAGTACTGACACACGTGCTCCATTTTGTGCTTGCTCTTGCAGTAGTGCACCTTGACATTCTGCTCCAGGCCGTCCACATCACGGCCCCGGTAGAAGGTGTGAGACCAGTAGGAATCGGCCGTGCCCGCGGGAGCCTGCTGCGCTTTGGCGAATGCCGCCGCGCTGATGTTGAAGGCAAGGCTCGTGACTGGAGGTCCTTTCGGTGAGATGGTGGTATCCACGGAGACAGCCGCGCCGAGACCTTCCTCCTTGATGAGCTCCTCCCTGAGGTTGCGTTGTCCGGCAACGGGCCCCCTCGTCGTGTAGTCTTCATTGTACTCTACCGCTGTCGTAAAAGAGTCGTTGCCTGAATCGGAGCAGTCTGCCTCGTCGTCCAATGCCTGTTCGACTATCGCATCGTTGGGGTGCTGCGTCCATGCGGCAGCGCCCCGACTCTCCGTAGCGATGTAGGCTCGGGAATGCACAGATTCTTGTTGTCGAGTAGGACTAAACACAATGCCACGGCCACGGTGCCAGACTCGTTCGAACGGGTAGGAAGTCATATTCGGAAGTCTTAATCTACCAGGAACCCCTTGTCAGCGAAGCTCTGCAGAGGCCATTTGACACAGGAACGAACCTGTTACGATATGCTATGTTGGAATGGTGTCGCAAGACGATGGCAGCACCGCCAGTTTTGTATGGGAACCTCATGGACACATGGGTGCGAGAGGTTCGGGCCAGCATGAGACCGCCATGGTGAACCACTGGCATGGCGCGGCGATCCAAGGAACAGGCAGACGTCTGCCCTGGGCCGTGAATCGTTGGCTGTGCTGTCTTCAGGGGATTCACGCTGCCGCCGGAGGGGTTCCCGTCACCCTCACCGTTGGACCTGGAGAGCTCGGGCGGCTAAAAGTGGAGTCGTTGCTGCTGAGTCATGCGCGCGACATCACATGACATGGTGGTGCTGGCTGGGTCTCACACCCGCCGCTCGCTGCCTCATGATGAACTGTGATGGGCAATCGAGATATCGGATCTAATTCAGGAATCTCGATTTGACGCGCTAGAGAACAGTTGTTTGACACCAACGACCATAAAGAACACTACGGCCCAGGATCAACATCGGGAACTACTATACTGACACTGCCGTATCGAAGAAAATCGGCGACGCTCACACGATGGCATCTCAATTGCTTCCCCTAGGTGAGGCACGATGCAATCTCTCTCAGATTGGAGCGCTGACGTGGTGTAGAACTGATCGACAAGTGCGTCGGCTCGAGGATATGGGTCATTATGAAGGGTGACAAGGGTACGGGACCGTATGCTGTGCCTCGTTAGATATTCGTACTGACGCCCTGCCAGAGTTCAGCGGCACTCTCACCGGTTTCGATGACTATGTCAGTACGTAGAAAGTCATCATGCCCCTCTTTAGAAGCCCTGGCTGACAGCTTGGTAGACATGGTGCTTGAGGATGTCACAGAATTGTGAGGCGCACAACCAACAGCATAACGAGCATGATACTGACCTCCGCAAGCGACTACTCCGGACAGCACGTCAAGCTGCCCAAAATTCTGTTGAACGGCAATAATATCTGCATGGTACGTCGCGTGAGACAGCCCCCCCAAAAAATTCATATGCTGACGGCTTTCTCAGTTGATTCCTGGAGGAGAGGGTCCTGTCTGAGGGAGGCTTGGGAAGATGCACCAAAAACAAAAGTACTGATGGTGTCGATGTGATGAGCAATCATATTCAGTCCAACAAAAGCTACAGAAGCTATAGAGCCAAATCCAGGGCATTGTCGGATGAGTGGAAAGCGCAACGGCACATCAGATCAAACCAATAAAAAGACATGACCAACCCAAGGAGCTTTTATTGCACATGCCTCTCTCCCTCTCTCTCTCTCTGTCCATCCATGAAATCGGCGACAGCCCAAATCGGCGCATCCATCATAACACACAAGCCATGGCACCGAGTCACGGAAAGAACCAAATGTCGTCCTCGGCGATGCATAGACCCTTCAACGCCCATAACGCCTCCTGTGTGAATTTCGGCAGCCCACAGCGCCAGCTACTGTCCGTTCGTCTGATCGTGCTGGCGCGCCTCGACGACGCGGCGCAGCTCGTACTCGCGGATAAACTCCTGCGCGAGGTGGGAAAAGTCCTTCATGAGGTCCTTGATGACCTCCGTCACGGCGTCTTTCGGAGTGATCGTGCCGTCTGTCTGGACGCGGATGAACATCTCGGACACGTTGGGATGGGGGACTATACAGGGCGTCAGCGGTGGGCGCGACATCGCGGGCTGGCGGCGGCCGTACTCTTGTAGCCGGCCATCAGGACGTGCTGGTGCATCTTGAGGTGCTCGGAGATGAGGTTGCCGACGGTGTGGTCCTCCTTCTTGATCACAAAGTCGGACGTGTTGGACATGCCTGGGACGTGTCAATCTTTGCATGGACCCCGTCACATGGCTCGGGCCGTAGTCTCACCCGCGTACGGCTTCTCCTCGATCTTCTTCTCATCGTCAGAGAGAAGAAAGAGCTCGAATCTGGTGAGAGTGTCAGTACATGTTCACGAGCGAGGCCCGAGCTCAAACGCCGGGAACTGCGCAGCAGCCCTGAGGTCCATGTTGTAACAACATAAAAAGCGCTGATGGAGCTAGAATCTCTTCGTGCACACTCAGGCTGCACACACATGGCTGGTCGCGATCATGCCAATGTGGCTCGCACATGTTGTACCATGAGATCGCCAGCTCAAAGTTCAACACGTCCGAGCCCGGGACTGGAGACAATGATGATCAGGACCGCACTGACCTATCGGGGGCGTTCATTGTGAGATGTGTATGAGTAGATGATCTGGGAGTCGAGGTTGGGTCTCTGAAGAGAAGGGTGCTTCAGAGGTCGAATCTGGAGGTGAACAAGCGGCGATGGAGACGCTGACGCAGAAGCGGTAGTCCCAATTTCTGATCGGAAACTCGTGAAGGAGAGGAAATCGTTGCGAGGAATCGAATATCAAGGCCGTTCGTTGATGCCGCTGGTTGGGTGTCGTCGTCAAACCTCAGAGCGCTCTCATCAATGGATCGTGAAAGAGCGTCCTTCACAGCCAGTAGGTGAGGGATGCGCTGAGAAGCTTGTCGCGTTGTCGCCTGGGGCGCTCGGATCACCAGCCACGTTGCCTTGGAACCATTGCTAAATGTGGCGTACCGTGTGGCTGTGCCGCCCAAAACACTGTACATCCATCGGATCACAAAGGGAGACGCTCAAACACAACCACGAACAGCAAAGACCATGAAGGGTTTACAGAAATGTTGAATATTCGACGATCGCTATGAAAGTATACAAATGCATCCATAAGGCGATCTAGTGCCTTGAAAGAAATCCAGTCTGATCTCCCAGCATATGCAACCCCCGACTCCTCTCGTGATGAGACCTAAGAGACTCCCATACTTACATATTGATATTCAGATAATTGGTTGCAAAGTTCCCAGTGCAACGACACGGCGATGGATAGCGTTAGTTGCCCTTGGAGTCACAGTAGCCCGGCAGAGGAGGTCCGGAGGGCCCCGCAGCCCAGTTCATGACGGTCAGAACAGTAGTGTAGGACATGGCCACGAAACCAAAGACGCAGAGAATAGCGTCGGCGATTTTCCAGTACCTGTTCCGCGCGACGGCCTTGTAGTGGAGGAGGGGCTAACGAAGGATCAGTAAAGAAGTACGCATGAAGCGGACACGAGGCACTCACAGGGTAAATGAAGACCAGGGGGATGCATGCGAAATTGCCGACGAGGGCGACGAACTTGTCCAGATTGGCGGCACCACCCCAGGCGATGGCAGAGCACATGCAGACAAAGAAGAAGCGGTAGCAGTTCTTCTGCCACTTGATGTAGGGGTTGTACTTGCCGCTCTTGGTAAAGAGGCCGTTCTCCGTAATCTTGATGGCGGGGAAAATTTGCAGCGGCGTCGACAGCATGATGGCGACCGAGTACAGGAACTGAACACCGTTGACGAGCTTGCTGTCCTGTGGAAGGTTGAGCAGAACGACAGTCTCCGTCTTGGAGCCGTAGGCGGCGTAGGAGAAGGCGCCCATGACGATGAAGACGGTGGTAATGATGATCATGACGATGAACAGGACGCGGGGGAACTTGGTCGGGTGCTTCATGGACTCCTGGATCGGAATGATCAAGCCAATGCCTTCAAAGGTGAAGATGGCGGTGCCGATGAAGAGGGTCCAGTTGTCTTGGTTGAACATGATGATGTCCGCCAGGCCGTTGGTGGCCAGGGTGAGGATATCGTAGTAGAAAAGGTAGGCAAGGCCGATGAGGATGAAGGCGTCAGCGACGAGAGCCGTGACACCGAGCTTCTCAATGTCGCGCATCAGCGAGAAGGGCAGGAACACTGCCAGTTGCATCAGAATGAACCACTTGATATCCATGTACGTCTTGCAATCGGTGACAGCCAGCACAAACGCCTGCAGGTTCTCCGAAGTGAACACCATGTACGCCGCGATGAAGCCGATCTGGCTCAGCACGATGGAACTCAAAATCATGCCCCGCATCCACTTGCCGTAGAGGATACCACCGATGTCTCCGAAGGAGCCTTCGACCTTGAGACGGGTCGTGACGAGGAGGACGAAGCAGTAGTAACTCAGGGCCGCAACGAAGAGCAGGATGAGGTTACTGAACAACATGCCACCGCTGAGGTAGGCACGCGGCAGGAAGAGGACACCCGTGCCGACGAAAGACTTCAACAGAAGCATGGCAGCACCCATGGGGCTGTTGGTGCCACTGCCGCCACGAGGCTTTCTCCTCCTCTTGCGGCGCGAGGGTGTCAAAAGAGCACTGTCCTCCATCGGTTCCCTGTCCTCGTCGCTGCCCTCGTCGCTGTAGTAGGAGTCGTCGTCGGGGCCAGACGAGAAGTACTCGCCTGGCTGCAGAGCCTCGTCGTCCTCCTCGAGCTCCTCACCGGCAAAGTGGCCGTACATGCTCAGGAACTCGAGGAAGCTCGAGGTCAGCATGCGTGGCTGGGCAGCGTTGGTGCCCTCGCCGGCCTCGAGACGACCTCGATCTGCCGAAGGGCTTCGCGCCGACCTCCGCAGGTAGTTGCGGCGGAAACCACCAGGAACCTTGATGGCGTTGATATCGAGCACCTCGTTCTCAGGGTTCGGCCGCGAGACGCTGAAGCTCTTGCTGCGCTGCATCTTGTTTCTCGCCTCGGCCTCCTCAGACCATTTGTAAATGCCTCTTGTGACGTCGCCGCCCTGCAGACGAAGACTGGAAAATTCCTCCTCGTCCAGGCCGGCTCCTGCGGGGTCGGCCGACTGCTTTCCCTTGACACCATCTCGCAGGCTCGATTCCTCGGAGCCGGCATCCGTGGGTTGGACCAGATGCCTCTTGACAATCTCGGGGTCCTCGTACGCGCCGGTGGCGGGGTTGCGTTTGCTCGAGTCGAACGAACCGTAGTTGGTCTGAGGTGTGCTGCCGAGCAAGGCACCGGCAGCGGCGGGCGATAGAGGCCTCGGGGGCGGGCTGGAGGTGCGGACGGCGGGCGTGCCGTGCCTGGGAGGGGAGACACCGATCGAGTTTGACAGGGCGGCAGCGAGGGCGGACACGCCGGGGCCCTGGACGCTGGAGGCGACGCCGCCGGGCAAGGGCGCCTGGCTGTTCACGTCGCCCGAGATGCTGGCTCTCGAGGAGACTCCATTGATGGGCTGTCCCTGGGGGGTGCCGAACTGCTGTGAGGGAACGGGCGATGCGAGCCTGGCTGTCGCGTCCGCACGAGGCACCGAGGTTCCAAACTGGCGGGCAGCGAAGGAGGAGGGCGAGCCGGCACGAGGAATATTCAACGGGTCTCTGAATGGGGAGGCCATGATCGTTACTTTGCAAGGCTGTTCGACAGCTGGCTCATGCTGCGGTGACGATCGTTATCGGGTCGCCCGAAGGTAGAGGTCGCGGGCGGTCGTCGGTCGAGTGAAGGATTCCTGCTGCGCGCACAAGTTGTTAGCGCCGAGTCATGGGGCGGGCACGTAGGGACGAAGGAAATGCTCGGACGACAGCATCTTATGAGACCATAGAGCTGCCGTGCGAGGTTGCTTACCTGTCGGTGGCCTCGGCACAGCTGACAAGCTCAATTGGTGGTTGAGGGAGTACGAGAGCGGGAAGAGATGCTCGTGGTGTTGCAGAGATCCCGTGATAAGCCTACGGTGCCCGTTACTCGCCGTTGTTATCAGCGGGTCACGTCTGGTGACGGATGACTGGCTCGCCAAGGGCTTGAGCCGCTTTTCCAGCGGGCGTGGGGTCTGACCAGCCACACACTCACGGGATCAGGCCGATGGCAGGGCGGCAGGCCCAGTGCATCCCAGTGCATCCCAGTGCATGGGGCCCTGAATCAAGGGACCTGCGCGACGACGTCAGACTGCGCTTGACGCTTGGCTTTGCTGTCCGTGTCTGCGTCTGCTGGCGTCCTTCGTTGTTGGGTGATATGCAGAGACGGGCACGAGTCTCGGTGGTTTCTAGAATCCAGAGCCAAAGCGAAGTCCGACTGAAGACGAAGACCTCATAACAAGGCCAGGGCTCCTGCCTTCTGTCAGGAGATAGGTGCCTGCAATCTCCTCACAGAAGGCAGGTGCCTGCAATGTACCTAGGCAGGTAGACACCTGCCCAGCTGTACAGCGAGCTTGCACAGCGGCTTGGGACTTCGTGTGGGGGTTGAGTAGCGCCCGATGCGCCAAAACATCCCGGAGCTCGGGGGGGACATTCTTTCCTCATCAAGTCGCTGGCACAGGGCAAGACCGGCGGCTCCAGCGTGCTTCCCCAGCATCGACGCGTCGAGAGCGGCTCCGTTGCTTCATGTTCGTCTGCCTGCCGCTGGGAGTGCGAATGGATAGACCTAACCCTCATCCAACGCCTCGCCTGCACGAGCAGCGATCCGAGAACATCTGCGTCCATCTCCGCCTGGCGGTCAACACATCCAGTCACAGTTTCACGCAGATCCTCGGCTGACGTTGATTTCCCCAAGGCCAGTGACCCCCCACCCAATGAGCGCCAACAGGCCCCTCCTGTACGCATTCCCAGATGCTGCAGTAATGCTCCTCAAGGCGCACTTCCTGCAGCTCTGCACCACGGTGTGCTTGGCTCGCCCAATCCAGCGACTTTGCCTTGGATCCGCCGGCATCTCATACGGCACACGAGGCGAGGGGCAGCCGATGCCATCCGGATGAACGTCTCGGGCTGTGTTGAAGTTCAAGCTCAAGTGAACCTCTGCTCCTCCTCGTCTACCCTACGAAACACGTCAAGTCTCCTTCTTCCACTCGTCTTTCCCTTCCGTCCGTAGCCTGGCTCAGTCAATCCCGCACCCTGGCAAACGCAAGCTGAGCTGTCTCATATGCCGGCCGATCAAGGAAAAGGTGGCGCATCCCTCCTCACAGTAGGCACATTCTCCAAAGCGCCATCTTCATGACCCCTCCCCTGACCGCTGGCTCGAGTCCCCAGGTTTCCGCGGAGCTAGAGCAGGACGAAGAAGCTATTCACGCGCACACAACCAGAGCGCCTCACCCCTGCTGAACAGCACAGATGCGAGCATGTCCGCCGACGACAAACGGCCCAGCCTCTCCGGCTCGGACGTATCGAAGAAAGCCACGAAGCTTGGTGTCGTGTCCGGTGTCTATATACCTGTCTACCTCAACATCCTGAGCATTCTCATGTTCCTGCGATTCGGCCTCATCCTTGGGCAGGTTGGCCTCTTGGGCATACTCGGTTTGGCGCCACCACTTTTCGTCATGTTCGCGTGCGGGGCGAGTAGACTAACAAGCAGCTCCCAGGCCTGCTCATCACAGCGTATCTCGTCGACTTCTTGACCACGCTGTCTCTATCTGCCATCGCGTCCAATGGCGAGGTCAAGGGCGGCGGTGCCTACTACCTCATCTCGCGCTCTTTGGGACCCGAATTCGGCGGCTCGATTGGCGTCTTGTTCTATCTCGCCCAGGTGCTCAACACGGCCCTCAACGTCGTGGGCCTCATCGACTGCATCAGGATGAACCTGGGACCTGCCTTCCCTCAGGGCTACTGGACAATCTACGGCTTCGAAACCGCTGCTTTGCTCGTCTGCACCGCTCTCGGCTTGGCCGGGAGCAGCATCTTTGCCAAGGCGAGCAATGGCCTCCTCGTCATCTTAACGTTGGCCATACTGAGCATACCTGTTTCGGCCATCTTCAAGACCCCTTTCCAGGATGACGACCTGGGTATCGAGTTCACGGGCGTCAGCCTACAGACGCTGATAGACAACTTCGTCCCCCACACCCAAGGCGCTGCGTACAAGGGGTTCGAGACATTCCGCGAGCTCTTTGGCATCCTTTTCCCGGCCACATCCGGCATCTTTGCGGGTGCGTCCATGTCTGGTGACTTGCGCAATCCAAGCAAGGCCATTCCCAAAGGCACGCTCTGGGCCATGCTCACCACGTTCATCGCCTACTTGGTCGTCATCTTCTCCCTCGCTGCGAGCACCACGCATGCGTCGTTCCTTCGCAACACCAATGTCATCTCTCTGACGAATCTTTCTGCCCCTCTGATCCTCGCAGGAGAGTGTGCCGTCACGTTCTTCTCCGCCGTCATGGGTCTCATTGGGGCGGCCAAGCTGATGCAGGCCCTCGCCCGAGACCAACTTTTGCCCGGCCTCACCGTGTTCGGCAAGGGGACCAAAAAGGCGGATGAGCCTGTTGTGGCCATCATGTTGACATATGCCATTGCCCAGATAGCCATGCTTGCCAACTTGAACCAGATCGCCACCTTGATCTCCATGGGATACCAGGTATGTGTTTTTCTTTCTGTTGCCTACCCGCACAACACGCATCGCTCACTGGCACCAGATGACCTTCTTCGTGATGAACCTTGCCTGCTTCCTACTCAAGATTGGGTCAGCACCCAACTTCAGGCCAGCTTTCAAATTCTTCAGCTGGCAGACCGCATTCGCTGGCAGCATCTTGTCGGCCGCGGCCATGTTCTTCATAGACGACTCATACGCGGCATCTGCCGTCTGTCTGCTCGTGTTCTTGTTCTCGTTGATTCATTATCTCAGCCCGCCGAAGAGCTGGGGCGACGTCTCGCAAAACCTCATCTATCATCAGGTCCGCAAGTATCTGCTCCGACTGCGGCCGGAGCACATCAAGTTCTGGCGGCCCCAAATCATTCTCCTCATCAACAACCCAAGATCCCAGACTCGGCTGATTCAGTTTTGTAACTCCATGAAGAAGGGGTCACTCTACATCCTAGGCCACGTCATTGTCACCGATGACTTCAACACCGGGGTGCACGAAGCCAGACTGCAGCAAGCTGCGTGGACAAACTACATCTCAGAAAAGTCGAGGATCAAGGCATTTGTCCAATTGACCATGTCGCCTTCGATCAACTGGGGCATCCGAAACTTGATCTTGTCGGCAGGTCTTGGCGGCATGAGGCCGAATATTGCCGTCATGGGCTTCTACAACATGGATGAGCTTCGCAACTCCCGTCCTGCTGTCAAGGTGCCCGAAGTTCCAGCATCTCCCACGAAGACACAGAAATCCCCCTTGAAATCGAGCAAGGGGCCGCGTAGACGTCGCGGAGATACTTCTGCGCGCCTACTCGAGGGCTTCCTACCTACCGACGTCATTCGAACGGAGAGCATGATGAGTGTGACGAGTTACATGACAATGTTGGAAGACCTCGCCCTACGGTACAAGCTCAATGTCGCTGTGGGCAAGGGCTTTCAAGCTCTGGAGACACCCCGAAAGGACAGGGCCAATACGAAAAAGTACATTGACCTGTGGCCGATACAAATGTCCGCCGAGCTCCTCTCCGACGGCAAGAGCGTACTGACAACGAATTTTGACACATGTGCGTGTTTGGCCTGGTTTTAGGTCATAGCCCTTGCTGACTCTTTCCAGACACCTTGATCCTGCAATTGGGCTACATACTGGAGAGTGTGCCGGCCTGGAAGAGCGCATATGACCTGCGTGTCATGGTATTTGTGGAGTATGAGAGTGAGCTTGCGGAAGAACGGGCCAGGGTGCAGGCACTTCTTGATAAGCTCAGGATCGAGGCCGAGGTCCTCGTATTTTGGCTGGCTTCGGGCGAGTTGAAGACCTACGAGCTCATCATCAATGGGCGCTCGGATGACGTCGACACGGATATCGTTGTCAATGACGTTCTCTCGAACGAGGAGTGGTGGGACGATCTTCAAAAATTCAGGGGTCGCGCCTCCAACATGAGCTCCAGTCAAGAACTGAAATCACTGGCAAGTATTGTCGAATCAACTGCAGGCCGACCAGGGGTTTTCAATCCGCACGTGCCGCTGGACGAGACTGGCGGCAAGCGACGCACGAGCATGGTCCATCTGGGGGATATCCCACGCAAGACGCAAGCGTCTAGACTGGGCCGGCTCGGCGTGAGCATGGGGATTCACACCTCACATCTTGGGGACGAAGTTTTTGGAGAGGATGACGATGTCTTTGACGAAGAAGACATGGGCGGAGGAGAGAATGCGGTCGACAGCTTCGACTCTGACTCGGATTACCGCCATGTCGATGAACCAGCCAGCGAAGACGAGGATGGCGTCGTAGACAACAGCGAGCTCGCGAGACGCCCTCTTCTTTCTATCAAAGGTGGTGGCAGAAGTCAGAGCGATGACCTGCTCACTAAAATGCCGTCCGCGAGGAAACATACAAAGACACGCGGTGTAGGAAGAGGGTCGGCGTATGGCACCATGTCCACCGAAACAACGGCGAACACACTATACAACAAGGGAGCATCTCACGTCGAGATCGATGACGGTCAGCCAGACTCGTCCGTCGTGAACACGTCCGAACCTTCGAGGCTGCCACGAACCCTGTCAAGCAGATCGCTGCAACCGCCCACGCCTGGAGATGCCTTCCCATCGCTCCCGAATGAGACGTCACAGGACGCTTCTGGCGTGCCCACCCCGATGCGACCACAATTCTCCCGCCAGTCGTCGGCCGCACGCTTCTCCAGCCGACCAGTGCCAGAGACCAAGGTTGCAGTCGAAGGCAACTCGGGCCCGACCATCATGTTCGCCGAGCCCACCGCGGGACCCTCCCGGCCAACCTTTTCGCGGCAGTCCTCCATGGGCAGGTTCCCGACCCAGCCCAGCGGCGACACCAAAAACACCACCGGCTCCTCCACTCCGGGCATCACGTTTGCCGAGCCGGTATACCACTCCCGGCGACCGTCGCTTGTTTCGACTGTTGATCCCGGCGACGTCCAACTGAACATGGCCGAGATTATCGAGCGCTACCGCCTCGAGGCTGGCCCCCACGACTCGGACGAGAGCGGCGGTGCCACCTACTCGACGCAAGGCGTGGCTCTTTCATTCAACGACCTGCCTAGTCGCGCGCAGCACCTCATTCTCAACGAACTCATGCGCCAGTACAGTGGCGACGCAGCTGTACTATTCACCACGCTGCCGATTCCTGCCGAGGGCACGTGCCGCGACGAGGCAGCGAGCATTCAGTACCTGTCTGATGTTGAGGTTCTGTGCCATGAATTGCCACCCGTTCTGCTCGTGCTGAGCAATAACATGACCGTGACGGTGGGGTTGTAAGGGAGTGTCGTTTACGATTTCTGTTGGTAGCGATTTCATGGGCATAGCATAGAATGGGCATGTAGCCCATGGCATTTTGAATTTTCTATTGTAGGCGATTTGACACGCTTCCCCGCGCGAGTCTCGGCCGTGGCAAAGGAGTTTGATTGCGCCATCTTTGATGTGTGCTGCCGTGGCTCTCTTTGAGGAGAAGGGGGTGCCCCTTTGTTTCGCGGATCATGACACCACGCCGCGACCTTTGCCCTCAATGAATGGCTGACCCCCCCCCCCCCTCCCCCCCCCTTCCTCAGGGCATGTCCCAGCAGACTGTCCTCGGTCAGCAGATCTCATCTCAAAGCCCGGCATGACACACATTCCGTACGATTCTCCAAGAAGCCCGCCCGAGGCCAAAGAAAACGGCATGCTCTCTCTTAAAGGCGCCGGCGCGCTCTCCCGCCTTCCGCCTGGCCGCCTCTGCACCGCATTTGTTGTGTAACTTGTCGTGTTCTGCCGGCCCAAATCACGACGAAAGGCATGGAGAGACAGCCTCGGAACACAGGATGGTCGCGCTTGCGGCGCATAAATCTGAACCGCCTCTTGCTCCCGTCGAGGCCCGCCCACGGCGATGCGCCGTTCAGGCCCGTCCATACGCCCGATCGACCGGAGGCTCCCACGCCGGTGACGGCCGCGCCGTCGGACGAAGAGTGCATGCGGTTTCTTGAGGCGTTCCGATCACCCAAGAGTTACGGGTTCTCGTGGGACGACGATGATGACGAGGGCGACGAGCCGGCAGTGTGGCCGCTCCCGCGGCCGCTGGAGACGAACGAGGAGACGGGGGGCACGTTGTCGACGACGATGGACGCCAGTATTCCCGTGACGGGACAAGCGAGCGTCGCAGTGGCCGTGGCCGTGGAGCGGTCTGCGGGGCCCAGAGTTGTGAGCGCGGTTGAACAGCCGCGGGCTGAGGAAGACCGGAAGACCAGACGGGCGCAGCGTGCGGTGGGCATCACGGCGCTGCACGAGGTGCAGACGCGGTCGAAGATGCTCGCTTCGCACCGCATGGCGGCGCGGTGTACGTGGCGGAGCTCCGATTCGGGTTACGGCGCGTCGAGGAGATCGGATGCATCGCTGGCCGCTGGGACAGCGAAGAGACAATGTCCGTCGACAGAGGACAGTGCCGTGGACGACTCTGGAGCCAGAGCTGTCTCGGGGCTTGCTTCGCGGCGGACGACCCGAATACTGTCAGCCGGGGACGCAAACGACGACGGCGCCACGGTTGTGGATGGTGCACGACATGCCCGGCGCGGCTCGCATGTCGTTCACGAGCTCAAGTGCCCGGATACCCTGAAGCGAGCCGTTCGCGAAAGTGTCCTGGGCGAGAGGCCTGTCTCGAGGCCTGTCTCGAAGTTCCAGAACTGGCCAATCATGGAGAAGCGGCGGACTGTCGCTGGGCGAGATGTTGATTTGTACGCAGACTGGGCTGAGTATTACTTTGAGAGTACAGGCTCGGAGCGGACAAGCCTGGGGGCCACAGTGAAGACAACAGGCGACGAAACCGACGAGACGATGGGGACCATGGAGAAGAGGGAGACGATATGGGAAGACTTTGTACCGGAAAGTCCTTCGGCGGATGAGTTTGTTCTCGCTCGGCAGAAGAGTACTGTTGCTCTGCTATCCAGAGGCAGTGTTCATCTCGGGTCTTTCTTCTCGGACGATAGTGATTCTGATGAATGTGGATTCATCGGATCCTAGTACGCGAGGCAAGGAAGCCCAATCATCTGCAAATTGATTCGAAATAGCAGGAAGGAGACGCGGAAATAAGGGGTGTGGCCTGGGAAGAGCTGTATACAGACAGGTTGAGGGCAGCTGACGTGGTGATGAATTGGAAATAGCTGAATGAGTAACTTTCGCCTGTTTAACCCATTATATGTTATTCAATAGTTCAAACTCTCCGAGCAATTAATTCTCCTGCACCGAGCCTGCGATGAAGTCATGGCTTCGCGGCGCCAGTCCATGCATGGTCGTGGCCCAAGCTCCTCACTGATGAAGCCATTCTCACCAGTCCCGTCTCACCTTTGTCCATCTCTCCTCCATAGCACCACCGCCATCATCATCATCATCATCATCACCACGACTCATGCCGCGCCTACCACCCTCCCTCCTTCGAAAAGCGTATCGGACATCCCCCCATATCCGCACCCTCCTCCCCGCCACCCGCGACATCGCCTCCGCCGCCCACGAGCTCCGCTGGATCAGGGAACACGTCCGCGACCACCCCGCGCCGTCCCAGCGCCTGGCGCGCCTCTGCCGGCGCCGGGGCCGCGGCGAACCACTGCAGTACATCCTCGGCACGCAGCCCTTTGGCCGCCTCGAGATCCAATGTCGCCCGGGCGTGCTCGTGCCGCGGCCCGAGACGGAGGCGTTGGCCGTGCACCTCGAAGGTCTTCTCCGGCGCGGTGCCCTGCCGCTGTCTCGACGCGACGGGCTGAGGATCGTCGACCTTTGCACGGGCACGGGCTGCATAGCGCTGTCGCTGTTCGCGGGCCTGCAGGAGGCCGTGCCGCGGCTGCTCGTCCGGGGCGTCGACGTGTCGCCGGTGGCCGTCGCCCTCGCGCGGGCGAACCTGCGGCGCAACGTCGGCGAGGGCCGGCTGCGGGCCGCCGCGACGGCAGAGCAGAGCGTCGACTTTGTCCTCGGTGACGTCTTCGACGCCGCGACTGTCGAGACGCTCGCGCGCGGCGGCGGCCCCTGGGACGTCCTCGTGGCGAACCCGCCGTACGTCTCGCGCGACGTGTGGGCGGCCGGCCGTGGACAGATGGGCTACTCGGTCAGGAAGTACGAGCCGAGGCTGGCGCTGGTGCCGGGGGACGACGTGCCTGCGTACGAGGGGTGCGCGCACGAGGATGTGTTTTACGCGCGGCTGCTCATTGTTGCCGTGGCGCTGGGCGTCCGCGTCGTCCTCTTTGAGCTCGGGGACGAGGGACAGGCGGCGCGGGTGCTGCGGTTGGTGAGGCGGAGAGAGGCGCTTCGGGGGGCTGCGTGCGAGGTCTGGAGGGACTGGCCCGACGTGGCACCGCAGGAGGACGAGGCCAGGGTGATGAGTGTCGGGGAGGATGGCGACGACGAGATTCAAGTGGCCATCAGAGGCAGTGGGAATGTGCGGTCTGTCCTGGTTCAGATCCCAGAGCATTCATAGCGGTCGACATGAGACCTTCGATACCCTTTGCTAGTTTACAGGTTTACTGGTTTGCTGATTTACTACCTAGGACAGGCTAACTTTGGCCACACGTCTTGTGAGAGATCTTCAGGTGAGAGAGAGACTTCAAAACAATCAATGCAACCAACGGCAGCCGATGCGGTGTACAAAAGATCAATTGCAAGATCGACGCATGGAGGGTGCGGGGACAAAAAGAATGCTCCGAGGCGGATTCGAACTGCCGTCAATGCAGTATTGTAGTAAGAACCACAATGCATCATCCTAACCAACTAGACGATCGAAGCTATCGTTGAGGGGCTGCAAAGTTAGTGTTTGATATTGTTTGCTACGGTAATCTGACCATTCATCGTCTCCGTGTTAAACGCATCCCCCGCAAACTGCATATGCGATGCATGCGATGGCTTACCCTACAAACCAACATCAAACTCAACATGAAGCCCATCACTCTTCTTCGACCTCTCTCCTCTCATCTCTCCTCTTATCAACCACGGACTCAATACCATACCGCCGTTGCCCCTCCAGCGACATGAGAATCAACCCACTCACAACTGGGTTCCCGGAAGCGGACCCATGACATCGCCATGTCGTTCCCTGACAAGCCTCTCGCTCACCTTCTGGGTGCCAATGGTCAGCAGCCGTCCTCACTCACTGACACTGACACTCGCCTTGACCACTCATCTCGACCTCCCACTAACTTCATCAGGCCCCATACACGCCCTCGCCTACTCGGCCTCCCCGGGCACGTACATCCTCACCGGTTCTGCCGACCGCACAATCCGCCTCTACAACCCCTTCCCCGCCGAATCCCAGTCCTTCGCCAGCAGCACCAGCAGCAGCAGCAGCAGCATCACCGGCCGATTCAAGCAAGGCGCCCCCGCTGCCCCGCTCCCCGAAGGCCGGCTCATCCAGTCCTACGCAGCCCACGGGTACGAGGTGCTCTCGCTCGCCGTCGCCCCGGACAACCAGCGCTTCGTGTCGTCCGGCGGCGACCGCGCCGTGCTCCTCTGGGACGTGGCGACGGCGACGACGACGCGGCGCTTCGGCGGCAACCTGCACGGGCACACGTCGCGCGTCAACGTGGTGCGGTTCGCCGGCGAGGGCGAGTCGCTCGTGGCGTCGGGCGGCTTCGACACGACGGTGCGCCTCTGGGACGCGCGGTCCAGCAGCGCCAAGCCCGTGCAGGTGCTCGACGAGGCGCGCGACGCCGTCACGAGCCTCGTCGTGCGCGGGCCCGAGCTGGTCGCCGGCAGCGTCGACGGCCGCGTGCGCAGCTACGACGTGCGCGCCGGCCGCTGCGTCGTCGACGTCGTCGGCGCCAGCGTCACGAGCCTCGACGTCACGCGCGACGGCAAGGCCGTGCTCGTCGGCGCCCTCGACAGCAAGCTGCGGCTCATGGACCGCGCGAGCGGCGCGTGCCTCAAGACGTATGCCGATGCCGCGTGGCGGAACGAGGAGTTCAGGGTCCAGGCCGTGCTCGGCGGCCGCGAGACCTTTGTCGTCGCCGGCGATGAGCTGACGGGCGCCGGCGCCGGCGGCGACGGCAGGGTGTGGGCGTGGGAGCTGCTGACGGGCAAGCTCATGGCCAAGGTCACGGTGCCGTGGGGTCCGCCGGGGTCGGGGTCGAAGAAGAAGAAGGTCCTGGGACGCGACGGCAAGGAGAAGGCGAGGAGCAACGTCATCAGCTGCCTCGCCTGGAAGGACGACGGCTGGGGCCATCAGTTTTGCGCCGGCGGCACATCGGGCGTCGCCACCGTGTTCGGGCCGTCCTCTTCGTAGGGATGCGAGAGGAGACGGTTCATCTCAACGTGTTCATACAGCAAGATACACAGTAAATCATATCGTGTTCGCGCGAGAAAACACAGTAAATCATATCGTGTTCGCACGAGAAAACACAGTAAATCATATCGTGTTCGCGCGAGAAAACACAGTAAATCATATCGTGTTCGCACGAGAAAACACAGTAAATCATATCGTGTTCGCACGAGAAAATACAGTAAATCATCTCCGTGTTCACAATGTCTTCTATATGTATATATCGATCATTTTCATACATGTCATGTGTCAGAGAAAGGCACCTCGAGTGCCACACCAACTGCAGGCTTTCCCATGCAGCCGCGGGGGCATGGACGCCAGACACCCTCCCCCCTCCCCCCCTTGTCCCCTTCTACAATGCCGTTACTCCAGAAAAGCGCAAACCAAGCTGGTATACACGAAAAGAAAAGTAGCAAGAAAAAAAAATGAACAGGCCGGCAGCATCACATCCCCCGGTCGAGAGCCCGCTCAACCCATGCCGACATACTTGAACCAGTTTGGCCTGCAGTCCTCCCTGTGCAGCCAGTTCTCGCCGTCCGTGAACTTGCCGGCCTTGCAGCCCCGGCATTTGGGCGAGTTGGGGCAGTTGAAGAAGGGTATGTGCTGGTAGCCGATGTCGCGGAACCTGGGTTGTGTGAGTACGATGATACGAAGAAACGAGAAAGAAAAGAAAAAAAAAAAAAAAGGGCATGGGTGCCCTACCAGTGCAGTCTGCTCGCGTCCTCGAACAGGCCGAGGGCGATGCTGTGGACGGGGGCGTCGCCCCAGCGCTCGTAGAAGAAGCCGCCGGCGCGGTCGAGGTGGTTGAAGTAGTCCTCGTAGGGCTTGCTGCGCCAAAAGTCCATGTCGCCAATCTCAAAGTTGCTCCAGAAGTGGCACGTCGAGTAGCCGTTGGCCTCCTTGGTGTGCTCGGGGCGGCGCAGGCGGTCGGTCAGCCAGTGCAGGGCGTTGTTCTGGTGCAGGTAGGCGGGGTTCTGGGCGAGGAACTTCATCGTCTCGGGCCACAGCGAGGGGATGGACTTGGGGGCGTCGTAGAGGTTGATGGTGAAGCCGTACGTCTTGTTGTTGTCCTGCATGTAGCGGAAGACGTCGTAGTCGACGTCACAGAAGAAGTGCACCTTGGGCTCGACGCGCCAGTAGTAGCGCGTCGTGGCGAGGGCCGGGTGCTTGTAGAACATGCCGCTGTTCCAGCGGCACATGGAGTGGTAGGAGACCTTGTCGGCGTACTGGATGCCGTTCTCCTTGAGCATCTTGGTCGACTCGCGGTAGAGGTCCTTGTTGATCCACGACGGCATGTCCCAGTGCTCCTTGGGGATGACCTCGTAGCGGACCTCGGCGTTGGTGGCGGCGGCGGTGCGGCGCTTGAACTCGTCGGTAAAGGGGACGTCGTTGAAGAAGGTCCACGGGTAGTTGAACTTGTGGTTCCAGGTGCGCTCGAGGTCGCGCATCGACGACAGCATGCCGATGAGCTCCTCGTTCCTGACCAGGGCCAGCAGCGTCGCGTTGATGCGTGCCGAGTTCTCGACGCCGGGGGCGTAGGCTTCCGAGGCATAGGTCAGCGTGCCCTCGGGTTCGCCGGTCACTGCAGAGGGGGGGGGAGTCAGCTGCCGCCGCGCGGGGTCGTCGTGGGATGGGGTCGCCATGGCAGGCTCGCGCTCACGGTCTAGGTTGGGGTCGCGCTCATGGCTGTAGCGCTCTGGGAGGTGGATTTCCCTTTGGGGTCCCAATATGAGGTAGATGAAGAAGCACCACAGCATGACGGACACGACGACCAGGGCCCGTATGGGCCGTGCCATGGCCATGATGGGCGGCACGTGTCTTTTTTTTCCGTATTCTCCTCTGCTGTTTCTCTATCTCTCTTGGCAGAATTTGCGTACACTGTTGCGCCAGTTGGTGGCAGGCGAACGGCGAGCCAAGGGGGGGGGGTTTCGTGTCGCCTGAGGTTCGTCGTCGCTCAGGCGGCCATTGATGCGGCCTTTGTCGGATGCAGTGTCAATTGTCGTCGTGGCAGGTCGTCGTAGAGGGGGAGGGGGGGTGGTGGAGGGGACAAGTCGGTCTGCAAATCCATGTACAAGAAAGGAGATGATGGTGTTGCTTCGAGGTGGAATTACTTGTACGCGGTCCAGGGCCGTGCAGCCAAAATGGGCACGTCACGGTGGATCGGGGCCTCGTGGGTGGGGGGTTTCTACATGTACATGTACGCCGTAACGGCCAATGGATGAGGCTCGCAAGCCAGGGGGTTGGCCACGTTCTCTGCGCTGCCGGCCGTCTGCGCCCCGTTTCCCCCCCCTGCGCGCGCTACCGTTTTAGGTGGACGGCATGATAAGGACCCTGAACGAGGTTCCTCGTCTTGGATCCTACCTACATTCAGTCATGCAATGAGCCCACGATATGGATCATCATACGCGCAATAGCCAGATCAGAAAATATATGGATTATTTGCGCGCAATAGCCAGATCAGAAAATATATGGATCATCATATGCGCAATGACCAGAGCAGAAAAAATATGGACGCATGACTTCTTCGGTCACCTTCTCGAATGGCTGGACCGAGCCTGTTCACAGCGGGCACGCCCAGCAACACGCTGCGTGTTTTGAGGTCGCATGCCACTGATTGACATGAACCCGTGCTGGCCTTCAGGATGCAAGGCTGTGGTTGATGCTGGGTGCAGGCATAAGGACTAGTCCCCTCGAAGGATCGATAAGGTAGACATGTACATATACAGTCTCGGGTCTCCACTGGAGGCCGGCCCGTTCTGAGTAGCACAACAAAAACTACGAGGTGTGAGGCAGTTGCGTGGATGGCGCATGATAAATACATGCGCAGAAGGGCTGTCACATTTGGCCTGCCGCCTCACTCTCATCGATTGGCATCGTACACGGGCCGAGAGACTTGTTGCCCGTCCTGACCTCGGACGATGAGCCTCAGCATGACCACGACGATACTATGCACCTAGTCAATCAGACAAGGGTTTCTCCTCGCTGTCTGGAATCTCCGTCTTGGCTCTGGCTTGACGAGCAAAACTTCTGTCCAGTCAGGGACCCGTTGAGCACATATACCATGCTGCTAAGCATATATACCACGCTGCTTGTTTCCTCTCTAGCCAGCTCCTACAGGGCTTCAAGTCCGCTATCACTGATGCCTACCGAGATGATGAGCGCCTTGAGGTCTTGTACCCACTCCCCAGGTTCCCCGTTTCAATCAGACCGTCTCGGCTGACCATCAACCCAAAGGACAAAGCCGTCTCACCAGAACAGACAAAGCCAGTTGACCCCGGCCCCTGAAAGCTCGGCCCCTGAAAGCTGTCAAAGCTAGGACCACTCTCCAGCACATGTCATTCGCCAAGAACCCCCAAAGACGACCCCCACCTGCCGGGTCGAACAACCCCACCTCGTCGCGTCAACCGTCAACCGTCGACGCTTTCACCGTTCACCGCGTCGCACCTCACCAGCTCCCATCCCATCTGCTAGACCCCGCCGCCATCGTCAACCTCGAGCCGCCCCGACACCCGATCGATGAGCGCACCATGGCCCACGCCGCCCAGCTCGGCGCCCTGACCGAGGAGCTCGTCGAGCTCGTCACCTCCACGTCGAGCAAGGTGTGCAACCAACCACCCACCACCTGCCCTCCCCTCCCCCCCCGCCGAGAGAGAGCCACGAGCACTGACCCAGCCCCTGCCGAAAACAGAACGCACCCCATCGCTTCAACCGCTGCCGCGAAGCCTCCATCCGCACCCTGCGGCACCACAACTTTCTCCGCACGAACCAGTTCGACGTCGAGAACCGCCTCGCCGGCCTCGAGGAGCGCTTCAGCGTCCACCACCGCGACGGCCTCGCCCGGGCCCTCCGCCAGAGCCTCGACGCCTTCGCCCCGCTCCGCACCAAATGGGCCCCCGACATCCTCCACTTTCTCCTCGAGATCGCCGACCAGCCTGCGCAGAAGACGGACCTCCAAGACCTCGCGCTCCTGCGCCGGCCGAAAGAAGGGGCCGGCCCGCCGCTCACGTGGGAGGACATTGCCAGGGAGGACGGGTGGCATCGCGAGCCGGATCTGTGGCGGTCCGTAGACTTTCGCGACAGCTCCGACGATGAGGACTATCAGGACAACACGTCCGGCGCGGGCCACGACTCGGACGACACGTCCGTTGCGGCCTCGGACGCGCTCGCTGTACGGCGGCCCGAGGATTGTCAGGTCGAGACGCGGCACGATGCTGCCTTGCAGGCGGTGCAGCAGAGCCAGTCGTGGCGCCTGCCAGACGGGCACCAGCAACCCTCGGCAGGGCCGTCGCGCAAGATGGCCGTGTCCGAGTTTCACATGATCAGAGAGGCACTGTTCATGCTCCAGGGACTGGAGACATCATTGTTTCAGAAGCACGGCCAGCCGGACCCTGCGTACCAGGTGGCCAGCATGGCGTGGGAGACGTGCAAGGCACTCGTCGGCTGGTTCGCCGAAGCGGGACGCCGCCTCGCCGTGCTGCGGTCCTTTGCGAGCCGGAGGCAGACGATGCCGCTGTTGCAGGTCTTTCACGCCAATGTCATGACGAGCCTGCAGTCGTTTGACAAGGAACTATCACGGATCCAGCATCGCCTGATCGCCCCGCCGCGAGACACCGTCGTGAGTTCCATCGCCCTGCAGCGCGAACTCGGTCCGCACCTCGAGCCCCTCAATGCGCTGTCCGACATTGTGCGCCAGCTCGAGGAGGGGTCCCAGGTCGGCGCCTTTCGATACCTCGAGCTGCTCTACCAGCACGTCGGCGCCGCGCAGGCCGCCGGCAAGGACGGCACGTACGAGTTTCTGGGCCGCATGTTCTTCGAGTGCTTCCAGATGTACCTGCGCCCCATCCGGCTCTGGATGCACGAGGGCGAGCTGCTGCCGGCCGACAAGATCTTCTTCGTCGCCGACTCGGTCTCCCAGGTACCCCTGAACCAAATCTGGCAGGAGCAGTTCAAGCTGAGGCGCACATCCGACGGCAAGCTGCATGTGCCCAACTTTCTAGAGCCCAGCGCCGCCAAGATCTTCACGGCCGGCAAGAGCATCGTCGTGCTGAAGCATCTGGGCAAATACGAGTCGACCCGCGCCCAGTGGAACAGGCCGGAGCCCCTGTTGACCTTTGACGCCGTCTGCCCTGAGGGGTCTGACTTTGCGCCCTTTAACGAGCTCTTCGGCTCGGCGTTCGGCTCCTGGATCCAGAGCAAGCATCACGCGACATCCGAGGCGCTGAAACAGGTCCTCTTCGCATCCTGCGACTTGTGGTCCAACATTGACGCGCTGGAGTCGCTGTACTTCATGTCGGATGGCTTCGTCGCCGATGCCTTTGCGCGGAACCTGTTTGCCAGGATCGATGCCGCCAAGCCCGACTGGCACGACCGCTACCTGCTGACAGGGCTCGCGCAGGAGGCTTTCTCCTCACGCGTCGACGCCCAGCGCCTTTCCGTGACGGTCGACGCCGACGGCCAGAAGGCGCCCGTCGCCCGCAGCAGGGACTCGGTCCGTAAGCTGCTGCCCACCCTGGTCGTGGCCTACCGCTTTGCGTGGCCCATCCAGCTGATCATCACAAGCGAGTGTCTGGCCCGCTACCAGGCCGTCTTTACTTTCCTGCTGCAGATCCGGCGCGGGGTCACGCTCCTGGGGACGAACCGTTCATTCGACAGCTACGTCGCCGACCAGGAGGATTGGCACGAGCAAGCCACATACTACCGCCTCCGCTCGAAACTGCTCTGGTTCTGCAACTGCGTGCATACCTACCTGTCGACCCTCGTGCTGGCGCCGACCATGGCCAGGCTGCGCAAGCAGCTCAGGGACGCACACGACGTCGACGCCATGATTGGCGTGCACCTGGCCGTCACCCGACAGGCCATGAACGCTGCCTGCCTGGGCAGCAAATTGGGTCCCATCCGGGAAACAATCCTCGACGTTCTCGACCTGATCATCAGACTTGAGCGCGCAGAGCGGCACAGGGCGGCGCAGGAAGCCGAAGAGAGGCACGAGCTGTCGCGGTTGTCGGTCATGTCTTCACCGCCGCCATACCAGCAGCGGGGCGGCACACCGAAGAGGGCCCGGCCCGCTCGGTGGGTGCAGGACAGCGACGACGACGGCGTCGACCAAGAACTAGACACAAACGAGGATACGGGAGAGAGAGAGGATCGTCATCAACGTCATCGTCAAGGTCGAGGTCCCGCGGCGGAATCCTCGGGACACCAGGACGAAACGTACACTGCGATCTTGGCAGGGATCAGCGGCGACCTCGAGAGGCACATGAGATTCATCTGCGGGGGCCTGCGGGGGGTCGCGCGGGCGTCAAGCGACGAGGCGGCTGCCAAGTGGGATATGCTTGCAGAAATGTTGGAGTCTGGTGTTGGCGGGGAGCTGTAGGGCTCCGAGAGGACCAACTGTACTGAGGCATTTAGACAGAAGCCAATTTCCATCATCCCGTGCCGGCTTCAATCTGAAGGTTCACGAAGCAAAAGGGAAAGTGGAAAAGGGGGGGGGGGCATAAGCAAGGGAGAAGACGAAGGTTTCTGACTAATTCTCCCCGACCCCTCTGTTTCTGTAGGTGTGATGATCCTCATTTCGACAATGTCGAGTCAGAATCCCGGTACGCCTCAAGACGCAGAAATGCAGGATTTCAGCATGCGGACCACGGGAGGGGGCGGTGGCAGACATGGAGGAAATCCTGCGTCTCTCTCATTCCCATCCTGCGAGCCTGCGCAGGTGCCGCTTGTAGCGCCATGGCTTCACTGGCAGCGGGCCAGGTTTCTGACGTGCGCGGCAGATGAGCAAGCGACTTACCATGTACATGTGCGCAGACACCTCGCAAGGTCATGGTATCGAGACGGGCGCGCGGCGGCGATCGCCGTGGCTAGAGACGATTCGGCTGGATCATCTCGTTCTCGGTCTTCTGCCTGTCGTCAAGGAAGCCTCTGAGGCTGCAGACGCAAAGTGTAAGTGAATGCTGACAGGGGTCGGGTTGGACCATGTCCGTCAGGCCGCGCTGCCAGGACCGAGACAAGCGGCAAGATGGGCAGGGGTTGCCGGAGCAAGCTCCGAGCTGGAAGGGAAACGGGGTGGTTTTTTCATCCGGTAACTGGTTTTAGCAGAGGCCATGGAGACCCTGCTTTCTTGTTTGAACCCTGTTTTTGGCCGTACCTGTTTTCTGACACCTCGAGGCGCAACGCTACCGTTCGTCTAGTCCGGCCTGGGTGGTCCCAGCTGAGGCTTAGCGGAGGGTCTAGGTATGTAAGCGGTATTGCAGATACGGTCAGGGACCCGGCAATTGTGTTGGAGTGGGGAGCCGGGGTGGGAGGGAGGATGGTGAGCCGGCCGCTTGTGATGATTCATGACGACGATTGTCTTTGATCTTGCGGGTCACAACCCAGCCAGGAGGGATGGTGTATGCAACGCCGCTGCGGGGAGGGCCTAGAACTTGGGATTCCTGATCTTTGCACTGCAACGAGCTTGCGGGTCTTGGCTTGACGCAGTTTGGGGGCTGGTTCAGTTGGTATATATCGGACGGGGTCACCACCGAGGAAAGCCCCACCACCTCACGAGACAGAGACGGCAGCGGCGGGTTGGGCACATGGCAGGCCTGGGAAGAAAGAGACTCAGACTAGGATGACACAGCTGGGCAGACGGAAACACGTGTGCGGCCTGAGCGCGCCTGGTCCGGCAAATACATCGAGTCCGAACCGGGAGTTTGCGGTGCTGCTCGTGAAGGATCCCCGTTTTCGTGAGGAGCTATGATCCGGACTCAACGAGGGGAGACGGGCGGCAGGTTTTGGGGGGAAACGTGAGCGTAAAGTGACCATGTCGAAGGGGGGTAGCCACCCAGACGGAGATGACGGAGATCATGCTTGAACGGCTAGCGCACGACGGTACGACGTCGTCTCATTTTTGCCATCATGACCACACACCCAACGCAACGCTGTGGTCTTCTCCCAGAGATTCTTCACATATGAATTCTTTCGGTCTGGGTTTCGAGACCGCAGAGCCAGGCGCGGCCAAGCCGGGTCTATCCAGTCGATCAACAGAAGATAACCTTACCAAGCAATTGATCCCGATTGCTGGGTTCACACTTACAGATCCTCGACTGGTGATCTTCTTGGGGATACCCGGAACTGGGACTGGGACTGGAGGGGACGTGCGTGGTAACGGAGGCTGTAAAGGAAGTTATTCGGGGAGCCGGGGCGCGGTTCGAAAACGGTAGCCTTGATGATCCTGTGGGTATGCCGCCCGCCGCCGCGGCCGTCATGACAGGTGATAGGTTGAGTAGCCTCAGGGACATGCGTGCCACTTCAAATGGGCTGTTTATCGAGTGGTGCCATGGAAATGGGGAGAGATGTTGCACCGGCCTTGTTTTGGGCCATTTCAAGTCTGCAAGCATGAGTCCTCAATCCGACGCTCCGAAAAGTTGGCAGTCGTCAGCGTGCCCAGATATGATGAAGTCAGCGAAGTCTGGTCATGCGGAGGGTTTTATCTGTCTCGGAGATTTGCAGTGCTCACTCTGTCCATGTCATTTTGCTGAAGGTGATAATGGTACGTTGGTCCTTGAGTGGGCATGGCAAGTGAAGCTTTGTCTTCCCGACAGGGGGAGGGAGAGCTGGCAGCTGCCCAGTTACGATGCCACTGCCGGGCACTGTCCTTACTGTCACTTCCATCAGCTGTCAATTGATCACTTGCTCACAAGGCTGGCTGGCAACTCCACTTTTGCTGTTTACGTCATCTTGAACATCGAATTCTGCTGTGCCTGCAGTGACAGCCTTGCCACTCGTGACAACGTCGGGTCGATTCACAACAGTCACCACCACAGTTGCAACTGCGCTTCCCCTCACCCAGCCACGCGCACCTCTCTTGATCGCCCACCATGTCCGAGCGAAAGGTTCTCACGAAATACTTCCCCCCGGATTTCGATCCACGCGCCCTGACGCGCAAGCGTGGGCCCAAGCCCACGGGCGTCAAGACGCAGGCCGTCCGCATCGTACGTGACCTCCCTCCGTCTCGGTTGCATCTCTGATCGCAGCAAGCTGACCTGGACCCCGCGCCCCACAAACAGATGGCCCCCTTTTCGATGAAGTGCACGACATGCGGCGAGTACATCTACAAGGGCCGCAAGTTCAACTCGCGCAAGGAGACGCCGCAGGGCGAGCGGTACCTCGGCATCCAGATCTTCTTCTTCTCGATCCGCTGCACGCGTTGCTCGGCGGAGATCATCTTCCGCACCGACCCCAAGATCAACGACTACACCATGGTCAAGGGCGCCGTGCGCAACATGGAGCCGTGGCGGAACCGCGCGGGCGAGGACGAGGGCGTCGAGGAGCGGCTCGACCGCCTCGAGCGCGAGGAGGCCGAGGCCGCGGGCGAGGAGGAGAAGAACGCCATGGAGGACCTCGAGGCCAAGAACGCAGACGCCCGCCGCGAGATGGCCGCCGCCGACGCCCTCGACGAGATCCGCCAGCGCAACGCCCGCATCCAGAGGAGCGAGAAGGAGGGCGTCGACTTTGCCGACTATGTCGTGCGGCCCGAGGACGAGGAGAGGGCGAGGCAGGAGAGGGAGGATGATGAGGCGGCGAGGCGCGCATTTGCCGCGGCCAAGGAACGGTCTATGCTTGATCTGCTGGGCGAGGAGGTCATGGAGGATGTTGAGGAGGACGACGAGGAGCCCCACCCGTTGTCGAGTGCAACGGCCAGGCCCTCCTCCTCCTCCTCCTCAGGGGCAGCACGACCATCATCCTCCTCCTCACTGTCGACAACACCAATAACAGGCGATAGCGCGGCTGTATCAGGGGAGACGGCGGTCGGAGCCGCAGCGGACGTGACGGCCATGCCTCCGCCTCCGCCGCCGGCCCCGTTCAAGAGGCCGCCGAAGAAGAAGAAGGTCGACTATGCCGCGAAATTGGGTATCAAAAAGAAGGCTCCGCTCGTGTGAGCCAGCGTCATGGTCCTTTGCAGTTGCGTTGGCCTTGCTGGGTGACGGTGCTGGGCCAGCCCAGGAAAACAGGGCAGGGGGGGGGGGGGGGGGGGCAGGACAGCGGCAGACAGGGGTTCGAGCGGGGCCCACTCACTCACCCTCCCAAGGCTGTGCTGCGGTCGTACGAGTCACGATACCCAGAACATGATTGAACAATGACGTGTAAAGATTTTCTCTCAGTCGTGTGCTTCCTGTGTATTGACAACAGGCCGCGCGCCCGTGCAGCGAGCCTTGAAGTCTGGCCGTTAGTGCGATTCACATAGTAACCGCTTCGTGGACTAAACCATCGGGTGGCTGCAGCGCCCAGCCTGATGATCAGGGTCCCATTGTCACGACACCAAAAGCCAGGCGTAAATTTGACTCAAGAATTTCATTTGCCAGATCAACGCACATTGCTGGTTCAGGTGGCGAGCAAGTCACATTCATTGGCACTTATAGAGTAAGATGTATGATAAAAATATTCATTGATTCATGATCGCGCCTAGCGGCAAATGCTACTGTATCTCTCCGTAGCAGCCATGACCCAGACAGCCGGAACGCCATGCATTGCTGTAAGCAAATAGAAAAGCAAGGTAAAATGTAAGAGCAGGACCCAAACGTGAGGGTGGGATGAGGGTGGTGGGGCGAGAGGTGAGGTTGTCGCCCATGGTGTGGAACCTGGAGGAGGGTATCCCCAGATTGCGCTCAGCGATGATCAGGAGCCCAGTACGTTGGGCGTGGCCGTGCTCATCTTCCACCATCGGAAAGGCCTGAATCGTAACTGAGCAGACAACTTTGACTCAGCGATCCCGTATTTGCTGTGCATCCCGTGTCTATTGGGATTCAGCGGGACTAATGCTGCCGTTCGTCATGTTTGAGGTGACGGAACCGCGATGCTCGCCAGATCGCCTGTGGGAGGAGCGGTTTGCGAGTTCCATCTGGCGCTTGGTGTGCTGGTGCATGGAGCGCTGGTAGACGTTGAGGCTGGCGGGAGGAGGAGGAGAAGTGGGGATGGAGACAGAGTAGGCGTCTTGACGGGCGGGCATATTGGCGGTAGGTGAGGTGTAGGTTGTGAGTTTTGTTTGGTGGTTGTTGTGGTTGATGGAGATTGTTTGATGTGTTGGATGTAAGACAGGCTTGCTGATGAGTGTAGTTGTGTTGTAGTCGTATAGTGAAGTGAAGAAGGGCTGCTGGTGCTGATGATACTGAAACGGATCAAGAAAACGGTCGAGAGGTGGAGGGAAGCTGGGTTATTATAGCAAATCTGAGAAGGGGGGCTGCGAGGGAATGATCAGCGGCTTTGGGGAACATGAGGAGACAGCGAGAGGATAGGAGAGGCGCTCAACTGTGTTGCGTCGTGTGGCCGCGCTGGGGGATGTTGGCGCGCTCTGGTTCTGACACTGACGCTGGCGCCGTCTTGGGCCTGGCACGGGCAGAGAGTACCTCTGGCTGGGAAGGGTAGCGAGGCACATTTGGGTACCTACCAGGTAGGAAGCCAGGCGAGGGCCCCCTTCTCGTGTGGACCCCAACAAAGGCAGTCCAGGCAATCCAGGGGTCCAGCCACCACCATGTCGACCCCCCCCCCCTACAGTACTGTCGACTCCCCCCTGTCCCACCGACCCTTGGCCTCCCCACCCCCTTCGTCTTGTCGCTCATCATCCTCTGCATCCACCCACCCATTTGCGCGCAGTCCGAGGGCCGTTTTGATCAAAAGATCGGCAGTGATGGACGGCCATCCTAGTGCGGTGAACGTCGTGGAGGTGGAGACGGTGGCCCTGCAATGTCGTAAGTTAACTGGAGACAGAAACCAATCAGGTACCGGTCGCCACGGTCGAGAGACATCCGGAGGGTAGAGATGGGGTTATGATGCGGAATTGGAGTCGCTTCTGTCGGAAGAGATTTGGTGTTTCGTTGAGGGTATTCATCGACGGGGGTGTGGCCATCAGAATATGTCTACTTGCCAGCGTCTGAGGTGGCTGGACGACTGGTGAGGCCTGTGACGACAGACCGACTTGGGAGTAGGTCATGTAGGCCAGGTAGGCTGAGCTGAGAATAGCAAGACGTAGGCTCCAGCACTTCTTCTCTCTGGCATCATCCGTTCATGCAAGCAGGCGGTCATGAACTCGGGTATAGCGTTGGGCTTGGCTGCAAAGGCAGAAGCGTGCGAAGGGGGGGGGCGCCTTTGGGTGGGTGCCGGATGGAGGCAAAACCGAGACGACGGCTCGAAACGGCAGGACCCTGCAGATCGCTGACAGACGCCGCCCCCTTCAGCGGTGACATGCTTGCCTTGTCTCGCCTGCTCGCCTCGCACGCCTCGCACGCCTGGCCTGGCACGCCGTGTTCGCCCGCCGACGCACCAGGGAAAAGCAGGCCCTTCCGTCAGGCATCACTTGCGGGGGGCGGAGCCAGTGACCTCGCTGCTTTGTCTGCCCTGTCTCGGTGGGCGATCGGCAGACCGAAGTATGCGCTAGTTGGTCTGTGTGCATGATGTCATTGGACATGACCTCCTGCGTCTTGCGCCAGCCAGTTATCGCTCGTCGTAGCGGGGCGCGTCATGCAGACTACCCCTGTGTCTCCCCTCCCCAGTCGGGAGGCGAAGAATGGACCCTGAAAGCAAACATCAATCTCTTCCGCTCACAGTTCACAGCTTTACCTCCCTTCCGCTCCGCTCCTCTGAGGACGAGCTTCCTGAGCCTCGTGGATAGACTTGGATTGCTGTACACCCTCTAGACCTAGACCTGATCAGCGCCGCCCATCCTAGGGTCCCCCTTGCCTTCCCCCAACAAGCGACCGCCCCGGTGATGCCATTCGCAGTCTCTGTCTGTTTCGGACGGGCTCGTAGCTCGTGAGCCCATTGGCTTGATCTCCGTTCCTATGGGGCCCAGCTCGGGATCGTGAGCGGCGGCGACTTCATCCTCACTTTCCGCTGCCACACCAACATGGGATTTCCCGCCGTTCTTGGTGGTGCGCTTTCTGAAAGTGCGAGAATTTGCCATATTTTGCCTCCGAAAGGCTGGTCAGGTGCACGATGGCAATCTCGGTTCCCACATGTACCGACATCGAGGCCACGGCAGAATGCCCAAGGGGGTCACAACCGGTACTGACATCCAAAGCCGGACAGGTCGTTGCTGCCAAGGCCCACCCACCCTCGACTTGACAGCTATCAGCTCGTGAAGTTGCATCAGTAGCAGAATATGGGGTCCGACGAGGCTGTCAGGCGGAAAGGGGGTTCTCAAGACACACCATCGTAGGGATCACCAAAACGACGCGGACCGATGCATACCGAGCAAACAGAGCTCATCCGGTCGTGTCTGCAATCTGCTGAGGGGTGCTGATCATTAGGGGCAGGCAGCAAAGCAAGTGGAAAGGCGGGAGCCAGACAAATGTGCCATGACGGCAGCGGCAAAACACCAGACGTCAATACCGACGACATAGAGCCTCGCCGCCCGACGAGTATCCGTATACGAACAGCGAAAGAACACCACAAGACGCCCCGGAATTTTCAGCCAGCAACGTACATGGCAGAACGACCGAACCGTCGAAACGTCAGCAATGGAGGAGCCCTGGTGGACAGAGGTGGAGGACGAGTGTCATCGAGTCAAACTCCAGTGAGGTCAGTCACCGCCACATGATGTCAGGCCTGTCCAATCAATGCCACGCAAAGTCGGTTTGCCCCACCCTCTCGACGGCACACCCCTCGCCCGTCTCCGTCACCGTTTCCACTTGCGCGACGACAACGACGGCCACCCAGAGCTCCTGCCCGGTGGTTTGCCCATCTTTGCCTCCATTCATGCCATCACTTGCATCACCCCCTCCCTCCCTTCCCCGACGACACGGGTATCCATCGTTCGTCCGTACGACATCCACCTGGGCGAGCCCTCACATTTCAGGAGCCTAGAACGCGAAGGATTTCCGATTGACGTCGTCTTGGCTATGCCCATCCGTCTGCTCGCCCCTTGCCCTCAGAAGCCTTGGCCCGAGCCCTTCTGTCATGATCTTGGCGATTGCGGCTCCTCGACAGCGGTAGCCAAGCATCACTTAGTTTGATGTGCACCATTCGAAGAGGCACCATACCAGCGACGCAAATCTTCACCATTCCAGCCTGGTCTGGGCGTCCGGGAGCCGGGGGATGTGCAGCAGCGACGTCGAGGGCTGGGCCAAAACAGATCACCCAAGGCCGCACTAGGCATCTCTCCGGGATCTGCAACACCTCTGGCGTCACACGTGACGACATGGCTCCTGTCTACCCTCTCTGTCCATCGTCGGCCTCGAGGCTACCACACGGCAATGCAAGCAAACTAACCGTCGCCCGGATCTCCCAATTCGCGGCCGTGGAAGAGGGTGTTGTCATCAGCCTGAGAAGAATGCGTCCTGCGCTCGTGGCACCCATGGACACATTCAGCGTAAGCTCGTCTTGTCCGGGAGGGTTGCGCGCTGACGACCCGCGATGAGGCTCAATGACATCGCCTGTCATCCCACCGCACCATACGCTCCCACGTCCGACGTCACTTATGATGCGAACCGCCTCAATGGCCACTGCCATCCCGGCGCCCGCTCTACTGTGTCCCATACGCAAGCGGTCGTTCCACGAACATAACAGCCGCGTCGATGCTATGTTGTTGGGCATGATGGGAGCCGGTGGTGCCGCCATAGCACTCGACAGAAAAAATGGCCAACCAGAAGGCTCTACAGCCGGACAGCGAAGCATGGGCCGGCGCTGTTCTACTTGTAAATTGGGGGTGCTCACTCATATAGTGGGACATTATTTTTGCCGACCGCTCGCTGCGTCCATCTGGATGTGCATTCTCACGGATGAATTTTTCAGTGATCATCCTGCCCGCATGCGCTTGTTGAATCCTCCTCCAATTCCATGTCTTGATGGGTCAATTGTTCAGATTTGGCTGACTTGACGCCTAGGATGTGGCAAGGTTTGGAAGCTGCACTTTCATATGCAAGCCCAGGTCCCTGCCTCAATAATATACTCGCTATGCCACCCCCGCGCGAGGGCAAGAACAGTTGGAAATATAGAGATGGCGAATATCATTTCGATCTTCCTCATGGATAGCAGATACGACGGCCGGCCGCGGACTCATGATCTGATATTTCGATCCGATCTCACCAGAGGACCCTTGTTCCAAAGCCAACTCGCAGCCATCATCGCCTGATGTTCCACGGGCCAGGCCTGGGGCTGCTTCATCCCGGATGGCCTACGGGTGGCCGAACTAATCGCGCCGATCAAGGATCTTCTTCTGCCCGAGCGGGGTCGAAACTCACCTGTACTTGATGGTCAACGGTATCCCAAGAGCCTGTCTAGTACAGATATGTCTCGCCCCATCCCCCGCTCTTTCGACCCGAGATCGCCAGCCATGCGGCCGTTTGCTGTGGCGCCGTTCACTGTCGTGCATCAGTTGTCATGGCGTAAGTACACGACGGCCAATCAACTGTATGGATGTTGAGGGGAAGTCTGCTTTTATTTGTACCGTCATCCGTGATGAGTGCTTCGTTGACGCTCGCAATTACCCGGTCAGTCGCAGAACAGTCCTCTGAACAAGCAAGCGGGTTGCAAAAAGAATGGTAGACATAATGCTCAGGTACCTAGATCCCCTAACATTCCCTACCTAACAGAAGTACTTCCAAAAGGCATGCTGATAGATATGCTGCTCATCGGGATTTCAAGCCCGCCCTTTTCATCTTGTAATCCGCCTGACCAGGTACAGTACGGTGATGGCCATCGATTGCATGTCTGAACCGTCAGCATCGGGAACTACTAGTAGCTACGGGACACAGTAAGCGGCAGATGGTTCCCCGCGGATGCTAGCAGCACCGTACGAGATTGATCATATCGATGAAGCAGCCGGGGAACGTGAGGTCGCCTTTCGACTGCGTGACTGGTTTTTCAAGCCTGTTGCTACCGCTCAGGCAAGACACATGTGGTTTGGAGCGCGAGATCTGAGACCAGAATGTGGTCTTAGTTGACTGCTCTAGGAACGGTGGTGCTGGCATCACTCATCAGCGATTTGATTCTTAACTCATGAATTCTTTCCGTCGTGGAAGCATCATAGTATCTAGCCCCAACTTGCTTCAACTGAACCCTACACACAATGATTTTTTTTATCCCATTCGGGCCAAATTACAAGCATTGCATCAAGTTAGGAAATGTATGCGGGATGCGGGAATAGCACCCCGCGCAACAGATATCGCAAGATCTGGCGATCGGACCTTGCCATTGAGACCCCTTCCGCGTCGCACCATACTGGACATCCACAAACGGGAGAAGCACGTCAGCACCACCTTTGGTTCGCCAACGAAGTAGCTAGGGCGGAGCCTTGACTCGGAAACAAAGTTTCGAGCAATGCCGATCGGCATCCGGGGCGAGCAGAGTTGGGATGAATTAGTCGTTTCAGATGCGCTCTGCGGAGGTGCACTGCGATGTTGGTCGCCCTCACCCCACGCTACTTCAGGATGCGATTGACTTGAGGTTAATTTCAAGTCGGCTGCATCGACATGTTGAAAGAGATGCGTCGCCGAGGACGATTCAAGTTGCCTAACGGCCGGCGACTGCACGAGTGTGCGTCGCAAGAACATTGCGATGGCCCCATACGGAGGAGAGGTTGGTTCTTTGCTGTATCAGCACTGTTGAGCACCTGTTTCACGCAGAGGCGTTCTGGTTTCGGGCGGGCTGAGGAACGGACGAAGCTCTCACCGGAACCGAGAATGGTGTGTCTCCCGTCGCAGATGCGTATTCTTTCATTTAGATGGGCGTCGCTGCAAATCTTGGCTCGTGTCCATCTCTTCTCTTCTTCTCTTTGACACGATCTTGGCCTGGCGTCGGTCGATGTTCCTTTACTCACGACGCATCACGCATCTCGGGTTTTTTGGGGAGGGAATTCGATTTACATCATACGTCTTCTTCTCCGTCACAGGTTTTCTTCTTAATAATTATTGACATGATTTCTCCATCGCTCATCGCCCTGGCGGCGGCGTCGTTGGTCTCGGCCGCTACACCACCGGGCTTCCAGCCTGCGGGACAAGGCGCGCTCATCATCTCCTACGGCGGCATCGCGGCCATGAACGGCGTCAATCTGCCAAAAGAGTGTGCGTATCTCCGCCACCCCGACAAAACTCGACCGATGCTAACAAGCGCAGCAACGGCCAAAGTGCCGCTCATCGCGACAGAGCAGCCGCTCCAGGGCACGTACGCCATCATGATGATCGACATGGACATACCGACGAACGCGCCACCGCAGACAAGCACACTGCTGCACTGGGCGCAGACGGGCTTCACGTCGTCGCCGACGCCCATGGTGCTCAACTCGACGGCGGGGCCCAAGACAGTCTACGTCATGCAGAACCTCGCGCAGCAGCCGCCGCTCGCCGAGTACATCGGGCCCAACCCGCCGGCGCGGGCGCCCCTCGCACACCGCTACGCCTTTGTCGCCGTCGACCACACGCAGATCACGCAGCAGGGGCTCAGCGCGCTGTCGCAGGCCACGAGCGAGAGGCTAGGGTTCGACGCCGTGCAGGCGCTCACGGCGGCGGGGCTGCAGATGAACGCTGTGGCGGGGGACTACTTTATCGTGCGCAACACGGGGCCCATTCGCGACGGCAGCGGCAACGGCACGGTGGGCGGCGGGCAACAGCAGCAGCAGCCAGCGCCACCGGCGCAGCCTGGGGGTGGTCTCGGCCAGGGACAGCCGGTGCCGGGACAGCCGGGGCTCGGTCAGCAGCAGCCGGTACAGGGAGGTGGGGGCACGCAGAACGGAAACCGACCGGTCGCGGGATCAGCGACGTACGGGCCTCCGGGCCGGATGGGCGTCATGGGCTTGAGTCTCGCTGTGGTGGCGGTGGTCTTCATGGGACTGGCATAGGCGCGCGTTGCGTGAAGGGGAGACGGGGCCACGGCGACATTGGGGGTCCTGTCAGGCCGACGGCCCGCATTGCGCTTGAATAGACAGGAAATGAAGATTTGGCAACCCAAGCCCTTCGCTGCGCGGACATTGGCAATGCGAACGCGAGCTGCATTTGAGTCAGACGTGGGCGAGAAATGACACCACGCAGCGAAGCGCCCACGAAAGTGCCCGGCGCGCGCAAACCTTCACCTCGCCAACTCGACGTGCCGCTGACTAAATCACCGTCACGTGCTCTCGTCACGCCCTGCCTTTTTCTCGTTACCGCGCGCGCTAGACCAGATGTGTCGCCGGCTCGACCTGCCGTTTCTCGCACCAACAGCGCAACAATGCATCGATCAGCCTTTTCACGTCTGTCGCCTTGACTGACGAAAGCCCCCCCGACTCCGCCGCGCGCGCGAAGGACAGTAGTTTATCCCGTTTTCTTCAGTCTAGTCCCCCCTGGTACTATCATTAGACGCTTACTTTTTTTTTTTGACCAGTTCTTTTGGGTCGAGGCATGGGGGTCGTGGACTACACTTTGTTTAGTCATTCACAGCATGCCAGCAGATTTGATGCCGATGGGGGCCCCTAAGCACATGTGTGGGATGTGCCGTGATTGGGGGGGCGGGCGGTCCCTTTCCTGTCTGGCTGGCGTACCTGGTACGGCGCCATGTGGGATGAGCTGCCATCTGGACATGAGGCGCCATGTGGGATTGTGGGATGGGCGCCGTGTTGGGCGGAGTTTGGCAATGTGGGATTTCTAATGAGGCTCAAGCTGACATTGACGAGACGCCATCGGTACATGGTCACTGCCGGGGTGCGTGGCGTGAGACACGATGCGACGGCGGCTGGAGGGGATGGTATATAGGGGTCCTTCGTGCCGTCTGTGATTGCGTTTCTGGGACATCACAGCTTCAGCACTACGACTACTTCCTACCTTGCACACATCTCGAACACCAGTCCCCCTTCACCATAACGCACCTGTGTCAAAACCCGTACACCAAACACCGCAGCCGCAATGACCAAGACACTCGTCGTCCTCGGCGCTGGCGTGGCCGGCACGAGCATCGCCCACCGCGCCCTCAAGAACACGGTTCCCAAGGCCAAGGACCTCAAGGTCATCATTGTCACTCCCAACACCGAACAGTACGTCACATTGCTTCTCAGCCAAAGGCAGAACAGAACGAAAAAGAAGAAAAGAAGAAGAAGAAGAAAAAAAAACTGACCATGATAGCTACTGGAACCTGGCTTCCGTGCGCGGCATCGTGCCGGGCCAGTACGATGACGAGACGCTCTTCACGCCCCTCGCGGCCGCCTTTGCCCAGTACCCCAAGGACCGCTACGAGCTCGTCATCGGCTCGGCCGAGTCGCTGAACCCGGACGCCTCGACCGTCGTCGTGCGCACCGTCTCCGGCGCCGAGCGCACCATCGCCTACGACGCCCTCGTCATCGCCACGGGCTCGCGTGCCCGGGACGACATGCCGTGGAAGGAGGTCGGCACGACGGACCAGACCAAGGCGCGCCTGGGCGCCCTGCGCAAGCAGATTGCGGCCGCCAACAAGATTGTCATTGCCGGCGGCGGCACGACGGGCGTCGAGGTGGCCGGCGAGGTGGGCTTTGAATTCGGCCGCAAGAAGGACGTCTACTTTGTCATCGGCCAGGTGCTGCCGCTCGAGGACAACATCCGCGAGGACGTGCGGCGCATCGCGCGCAAGGAGCTCGAGAAGCTCGGCGTCAAGGTCATCGACCGGTCCAAGGTGACGGGCGCGCGCGAGGGCGGCGCCGGCACCGGCAAGACGATTCTGCAGCTGACCAACGCGTCGGGCGCGACGTCCGAGCTCGAGGCCGACGCGTACCTGCCGACGTTTGGCCTCGTGCCCAACACGAGCTTCGTGCCGGCGGGCCTGCTCGACAAGAACGGCCTCGTGCGCCAGAACACCGAGTTCAAGGTCCCCGGCTACGACAGCCTGTACGTCGTCGGCGACGCCGGCGACCTCGAGAACGGCACGGCCTACCTCGCCGGCCTCCAGGCCACCTTCCTCTCCAAGAGCCTGCACCACCGCTTCACCGGCGAGGGCAAGGTCGGCACCTACACGCCGGATCCCAAGGTCGTCGCCGCCGTGACCATGGGGCGCAGCCGCGGCACCGGGCAGATGGGCACCTTCAAGCTGCCGAGCCTCGCCGTGTGGCTCCTCAAGGGACGGTACCTGGGTACGAACTACAACAAGGACGCGGCCAACGGCAAGAAATAAGGGAGCGGCGGGGTTGTGTGTGTGTGTGTGTGTGTGCCTGAGCGTGTCAGCGTCGGTTGGCCTGCCTTACCTTGGCTTGATCAGGGGCCGGAGTTTATAGATAGATTCCCAGCTTGGCGTACTATTTGCTTTCTTAGATACCTGAATCGAGCTTCTGAATCGAGCTTCTAAATCGAGCTTCTCTTGTGCAGTCCAACAGACAGGGAATAAGCCAACGGAAGTGCTGGCGGTACTCGTCCTCCGCGTGGAGTCTGAAGATGGTGATGGTGCTGGCTCCAAGGCCAGAGGCATCATCGGGTGGGCGACGAGACGACTGCCACTGCCGACAGGAGACTGCTGACATAAGACGCTGCCATTAGACGTGGGCAGCATCGAGCAGGACCACCGCCTTCCATAAGCGGACTAGTGCATTTCAGCCGCCTACAAACATCGCGAGAAAAAAATCCCGTTCTCACTTTCTCTTTTCCCTTTCTTCTCCAGATCAAAAGCGAACAGAGCTGCCACGACCGACATCCAGCTCCCTACGGTGTCGTGTTGCCTTCTCTCCTTCGGGAGAGACGCTCTGGAGACCAATTTATCCCTTGAAATTAGGAAGTTTCTCCTCTAGATGAACCCGAGTGGGGGAGAAATGCTGAAGATGGGGGACAGACCATTGTCCTTGTGAAAATTTGTGTGAGCGAGACAAGACGCCACTCGTACCTGTTTGTGCCTGCGCCTGCGCCTTGCGCCTTGCGCTTGCCACACTCCTGAAAGACGCCACAAGAGGCTGGTGCGTTCCAACGTCAAGCCGTCGCGCGTCGATCTGTCGCCAGAACCTCCAACCGCCATGTCCATATTTCCCATGTCTTGGCGTTCGACGAGGCAACGAGCCGCGCAAACTGCGCTTCCCCCCCCTCTGCTGCTGTAATCAGACAGCTCGCCACGTGTAAAATCGCCCGAGGCACGCCTCTGACGCTCAATGCCTCTCCTTCGAACACCCCACGGAATGCCTGGGGATCCAGGGGATCCAGCTGGGCTGAGTACCTGCATCTGGACCCTCCCGCATGAGGCGATCCCCGTCGAAGAAGCCTTTGACGGAATGTGGCCCAATGTCGAAGCATTCCCACGACCCCTTTCCATGTGGTTGGGTCGCCCCGTCGACGCTCCGTTGTTCAAGTGACGGCGGACGCTAGAATGCATGACAGCTTTGCGTGCCGTTCTGCGGCTTCTGGATCGCGGTGGTATCCCGTCCGTCTCGCAGATCTGCGGGAGCATCTATGCTTAAAACCTTGCCGTCTTCTCGACCTCCCAGCAGATGATTATCCCGTACACCCATCCAACACGACAATATTCGACATCCACGACCGATTACGACTACCACGACAACTTTACGATACAAGCAGGACTTGGCCTTTTCGTACTCGACATTGACAACTCGACCCTTGTTCTTCTTTTTCGACCAACCCATCACTCGCCAGCCGAGTGTCCACCCAAACCACATCTCTAGCACCACTCACCGAAAAACGGCATCATGGTGTATGTTGCACCTACATGGTCTCTTACAGACAGACACTGACATCCACAGCTACCCCGCCGTCCTCTCGTCCACATTTTACGACTGCGGCTCGGCCGTCACCATGACCACCGAGACCATCTGGACCACGACCTGGACCACCAACTTCCTCGCCGCCAACCCCCAATCGACCTGGGACGCCTGCTACACCGTGACAGAGACCATCACCGGCAACCCCGCAGACTACACCCGCCCCGCGCTGCCTCCCTTCTTCGTCGAGACCAAGGTCGCCTGTGGCGTCTGCGAGGGCGGCGAGATCGTCATCACAGCGCCCGTCGCCGACTTTACGCCCAGCGTCCACATTGAGGGCAACGGCGTCTTCGCCGACGGCGCCGTGCCCGGCCAGGTTGCCCCCGCGCACGCTCAGCCCACGTACGGACCCGAGTACCCCGCCGAGCCCCCTGCTCCCGAGGGCGAGGTGCCCGCTGGTGCTGCTGTTGCCCCCCCTGCTCCCGAAGGAGCTATTCCTGCTGTTGCCCCTCCTGCTCCTGAAGGAGCCATTCCCGCCGCTGCCCCTCCTGCTCCCGAAGGAGCCATTCCCGCCG